TCATTCTTTAAAATTGCCCGATGGTTATACATCTAACATTTCAAGATGTGTAAATCTTAAAGATCGAAAATTAATTGTTCTTAAAAGTCATGATTGTCATATTTTGATTGAAGATCTCCTGCCGATAGCATTAAGAGCATGTAGTCCATCTAAAGAGGTAACTTCGGTGATAATTGAATTGTCTCGCTTTCTTTAAAGCAATATGCTCAAAGGTCCTAGATGTGAATGAGCTTGACAAGATTCAAAACCGTATTGTTTTGACTCTTTGTCGAATGGAAAGGATTTTTCTACCATCATTCTTCACTCGTTATGGTGCATTTAACTATTCATTTAGCGAAGGAGGCAAAGCTTGGTGGTTCGGTGCCATATAGGTAGATGTATCCTCAAGAAAGGTACATCATAGTAATTAATTTCTCTTTCCTTCATATTTTGATGATTATATTTACTTAACTAAGATTAATAAATTTCTTAGGCAATTTATGCGTTTGAAGTCATATGTTCGTAATAGAGCTCAACCGAAGGATCAATTGCGTAAGGGGATGTAGTCGAAGAATGTTTGACATTTTGTTTAAGATACCTAGAAGGAGTTGAAACAAGATTCAATCGACCTTTGAGAAATCCTAATCCTCCTTCAAATGAACAAAGAGTTAAATATTTGTTCAAATGTGCCGATCAACCAATTGGAAAAGTTGAAGCCATACAATTGGACAATAAGGCTTTGATTCGAGCACATCGTTATATTTCACGTCATTGCGATGAAATTGAACGTTTTCGCTTGTAAGTTCTTTTAATTTAATAAAGTATAATACTAATTTTATAAAACATATTCTTATTTAATACGTTAAAAATTTTCACATGCAGAGAATTCATTGATTTAGAACGAAAAAAACGACGTCGACATGCTCGTCTTAGAAGTGATGATATTGAAAGACTACTTGATGAAAAATTTCATAGTTGGTTTCAAAAAAAGGTAAGTAATTGAACTAGGTGACATATTAAACATTAGGAATTAAAGTATATTAATACTAACTTCATTCAATTTTTGTTATTATAGGTTTTAAGCATGAACGATCCAAGCATTTCGGATGAAATTTTAGCACTTGGTAAAGGGCCTAATGATGTGGCCAAGAGATTTAATGGGTTCATCATCAATGGAACTAGGTTCCATACACTCGGATCGGGAAGCAAATAGATCATCTCAAAATAGTGGTGTGGTTAATGTTTCAATTGTTGGAGGAGTTAACTACTATGGAAAATTAAGAGATATTATTGAACTAGATTACTACGGTAGTTTTAAAGTCATATTATTTAAATGTGATTGGGTTGACATATATCATAGTGCTGGTATTAGGTAAGATGAATTTGGATTTACTCTAGTTAACTTCTCACGTTTAATTCACACGAGTGAGAAAGAAGAAGATGACCCATTTGTATTTTCTTCCCAAGTACAACAAGTGTTTTATGTACGGGATCCATCAAATATGAATTGGTCCGTGGTTGTCAAAGTTAGACCAAGAGATTTATTTGATATGGGGGTAGATGATATTTTTGAAAGTGACTTTTTGAATTCTTCATCTTTAGATGAGGGGGAAAAGCCTATATGGGTGCGGAATGGTTTAGATGATGAAATAGTTTATATTTTTATTTATTTATTTTTAATTTAAGTTATTTTTGTTTATTAATTTTTATTTTATTTTTATCTTAGTTATGCATTGGTGATTATACTTTGGTATGTTTTTAATTTTCATTGATCTTATGTTGATTCGTAATTTTAATATCAAGTGATATCTTGCGAGTTTTAGACATGGTTCGAGGATCTAAGACTTTGCGTGGATTAAGAATTGTTAGGGATGAATCCCAATCCGACCAGACCTATTTTTCAAAGTCCTACATCTTCTTATAGTTCACAACCTATGCAAGAACAAACACGAATTCAAAGTCGGACATCTTCGACAAATTGTTCACAACATGTTCAAGAAGCTCGGGATGATGATTTCAAGCACGGTTAAAATTATTGGTGAGATTTTAATGATTTTATATTTTGGTTTATATGTTTCTAATTCTATCTTAAATTTCAAAATTATAATGAAAAATAGATAAGGAGGGAAAATATATTAAAAGGAGAGGTCGAGCTTCAATGATAGATTTTTGGAACCATTTAGAAGATGGAGAACGTATTGTCATAGAGGTTTACAAATATGGAGCTCGATGTACAAAAGAAGGTGCTCGCTCTTGGTTCTTACCTTGGAATATTAGTAAAAAAAGGAATTCATGCACCTTTGAGCATCCCACGATGGGATTGTAAGGAGTTAGGTGTATTCAAGAACAACCTTATAAAACTTGTGAAGGTAAATTCTCTTAAGTTGCTATTACTTTTTTACTACTTTTAAATTCTCTTAATTTCATATGATGAGTTGGTATTTTGATTTTGAATTTAGAGAGTTTCATTTATCATTTACATCATAAATTGGATATATATTTATGGCGAAGTTCTCTATCAAGAAATTAAAATATATATTTTTTTACATGTTTAATAGGAGAAGTTTGACTTTCCCGATATTGCAAAGAAATGGATTTTGGCATCGTTAAACAAAAAGTGGAGGGATTTCAAAAGTGACTTGAAAGCTGAGTTTTTTTATCCTAGTAAAACGGCATAAGAGATCATTGCCTCTAAAGAATTGCCTCCCGGTGTCTTGATAGATCAATGGTCTACTTTGGTAAATAGATGGTTTACTCCGGAAAGCCGGGTTTGAAATTATTTTATATTGTAAGTTGCTTTCTTTTACCTATTTGTATGATTTATAATCAAATGCGTTTTTTTTAATGTAGAAAGCAAGTGAGGTAAATACCGCAAATGCTAACAAAAATAAATGTGCACATACATTAGGCAGAAAAAGTTGTGCAAGGAAAAGAAGAGAAATGGTAATTTTAATAATTTATAAATTTTTATTTAAATATTATTTATGTATGAAATAAGATTAAATATGTATAATTGTTTGCAGGAAGAAAGGGATGGAAAGGAACTCGATAGGTTGACATTGTATGAAGCTCCTCATAAGAAAAAGGATGGCATATTTGTGGATGACAATGTTAGGCTAAAAATGGTACTATCATTTTATTGTTATTTATTTATTGTTGATGAATGATATTTCATTATTCATTTTTTTTTAATGTACTTGTCTTGATATTTATAGGAAAAGGCTCGTTCTCTCCAAGTCGAGCGTTATGAAGGTTCCTCAACCGCTAGTGTTAATGATATAAATGAAGAGATTTTTCAAGAAGTTATGGGTAAAGAACACAATGGTAGAGTTAGAGGATTAGGCTTGGGTCCAACACCAACACTTTTCTTTGATATACAATCTCAACTTGAAAGTGGTCAAGATGGTGCATCTACAAATCAATCAAGTGAAGTAGAAGAAATGAAAGAGCAGTTGCATAATATGCAAACCAAGTATGATGCAATGGAATCTAGATATAATGCAATAAATGCGACATTAACTCGCTGTTATTGCTTTCATTGCAGAGAGGTATCATGATCGAATTTAATACCTACTTCATTGAATCCTACTCGGGTATTATAAATTTTTAATTTTTTTATCTTAAAATATTTTTACTTAGTTTATATATATATATTTTACTTTGAAATTGTGTTCTTGATAGGTTCGCAATGATGGTAATGGTCAAAATGCTCCTTCTCCTAATCCTTCATCACAATCGAGTCATTTGTCGAAATGAAACATTAGTCACTTATTTCTAGATATATTTAGAATTTTGTTTATGTATTTTGAACAAGTATTTAAGAATATTGCAAACGTTTAAGGACTTTTTCTTTAGTTTTTTTTTTAATTGTAAAAGTTTGACTACTTATTATGTATTTATAATTTGATAATTATAAATTTAAGAATATTGTGGTATCTATATAATTTTAATTTTTTTACATTCAATAATTGAATTTGAAGGTGAAAGGTAAATAACCATTTTTATAAATTATAAAATCTGCTTCTATGAATTTTGAAATTAATTTTATAAATTATTTATTTTGGGGTGGTTGGAACCACCCCTACAAATACTTTCTTGAGGCACATGAAACGGCCCCCACTACCTAATCTTGAGGCGGTTGCAACCGGCCCTACAAATCCTAATCGTGGGGCGGTTTCAACCGCCTCTACAAAATCCATCACGTGTGGCGGTTTGAACCGCCCTTACTATTTTTCGTCAATTTTATAAATTTCGCTACCGTAGAGGTGGTTTGCAACCGCCGCAAAAATTACTCACGTGACGGATTTTTTAGAGGCCGTTGCAACCGCCCCACGATTAGGATTTGTAGGGGCGGTTTCAACCGCCTCAAGATTAGGTAGTAGGGGCGGTTTCATGTGCCTCAAAAAGCATTTGTAGAGGCGGTTGGAACCGCCTCGGAGAAAAATGTAGAGGCGGTTTTAACCGCCTCTACCGACCGCCGTAGAATACCCGACGGTTGGCAAAACCGTCGCTACATCGTAGAGACGGCGGCATTGCGGGCGGTTTTGGGACGGTCCGAGAAACCGTCTCTATAATTTGTAGAGGCGGTTATAACCACCTCTACAAGATAAAAAACCATCCGGAATACCCGTTTTTGATGCAGTGAGCGTACGTTAGTACGTACTCTGATTATTTTACCAGATTTTTTTCTATTTTCCATCGCTTCAGTTTCTTTGCACGCATGCAGCCAATAATATCTCTATAAATAAAAACCCCAGGCAAGCAAGTTACCAAGCCACACAACTCACAGCCCTTCCCATATTTCCCCATTTCTCTTCCTTTGCGTGTGTGTTAACCATATAGACTGTCCTGTAAAAAAACATTTGAAGCGATGAAGTGGTTCTAGGTTTCCGAACCATCAACACATATACGTTTGTTCGTGTTAATTAAGATGAAGTGGTTGAACAGTTTTGTTCTCGTTGCCCTTTTGATCATCTGCCATCGCAGACAACATTGCCCGCAGGCTGATCAACCTGATCAAAATGGCCGTGTTTTTGCTAAAAAAAAATGGAATCCATTTTGTAATGAATAATAAGCCTCTATACTCAAATGGCTTCAATGGATATTGGATGATGTACATGTCATCTGATCCATCTACCAGGACCAAAGTCACATCTGCATTCCAACAAGCCTCCAAGTATGGCATGAATATTGCAAGAACCTGGGCTTTTAGTGATGGTGGAGATGATGAGCCCCTTCAGATTTCTCCAGGTTCCTACGATGAGGACATGCATGTTCAAGGTCTAATTTGCTCCTTTGCTTATTTTCCCTATAATTATTAATTATTCTTGAGCTGTTGCACGGTGAATAATTTTATGTTTTTTTTTTTAAATAAATTGGTGTTTGTTCTAGGGATTGGATTTCGTGATATCAGAAGCTAGGAAATATGAGATTTGTGTGATACTGAGCTTGGTGAATAACTACAAAGATTACGGGGGCAGATCACATTATGTTCAGTGGGCAAGGGAACGTGGCCAACAATTGAGTCACTACGAGGAGTTCTAAAGAATACTACAAGAACCATATCAAGGTATATAACTCACTTATCAGCATACCCTCCTTATATATATATACACACACACAGAGTTTGGAGGAGCTTTTTAATTATTTTACAGCTTCTTACCCATCTCATTAAATCCAGAATTCACAAGTACTATTAGATTCATGGTGTGGTTCGTTTCACCAATTTTTTCTTGGTATATAGGGTTAGATTGGACCCATTTAACTGACCCAGACATTATCAGATGGACTTGCATGATTATGCAAATCAAAGCACTAATGGGTGGATTATCGAATTCTACTAATTAACGACTGGATTCTCTACACTAACCAATTGATCATATTTGTTTGGTCTGCATGATCAAATTAATAAAAATGAAATTTTGGTCTATACTAGTACACATGCTGCACTTAATTAGGTCCTCTTTAATTTGATTTTATAATTAGATGTTAACGTAGTCTTAATTTGTCTACTTATATTCAAAGAAAATGAATGTGTTTAGTTTGAATTAGGAGTAATATATTTTCAATTACTCTGATGAAATTAAAACGGTGAGCGATTGGATAGAGCTAACCTGATTAGGTAACTACATGTTTTCATACAAGGTTAACCGGTGCCTTAAGCACTAAAGAGGAGCCCACCATTTTTGCATGGGAACTAATGAACGAACCTCGTTCAAATGACTCTTCTGGAAAACTAATTCAGGTATACTTTTCTTTCAGTACTACTATTACTCTCAATTTGATCACAATAATAATCATCATAAATCAGATATTTAATGAATATAGGAGGTTTAATTATATGGAAAAGGCACTTTGTCAATTATAAGCTCTCTGAGAATATGAATATGTATGCATGCTCTTCATTCAAGGAAAAAAGAAAAAGAAAATGACGATATTGTAACAGCTAGCAAATAGGTCTTTTAACAACAAACAAACCATATTTGGACGAAACCATAGCATAATTATTTTTTTCCTTCTGTTTCCGCAAGTACCGGTGCCATTTAAATCATTTTTCTTATTATAAAGGGACAAATTGTATAGTCTAAGAAACCATTTTTCCTATTCAGGATTATAGTCTATTTTTTTTTTATTAATTAAACTCCCTTTCACAGTGATCTGAGCTCATGATATTTAACACAATGGCGTAGACGAAACGTTTTTTTTTTCCTTTTCTTGGGAAATCGTTGACGAAACGTTGGGTCACCTCATTTGTCTCAATGCATTTCTGAAATCGGCTTTAATCATATCCCCAATAAAATGTTAGATATAGAGCTTACTGAAAAAAATAAAAAATTATATAGCATACATATCATCTTCTATATTTTGCTAAAATTACATATGCTTCGACGATATAATAATTAATATTAACTATCGGGCCATCTACTAATTAAGCATTGATCTTAGCACGGAGAAACTCGGCGCGATGGAAAAGAAGTAATATAATTGTTTACAAGCTCACTGGTATTCACTTGGCTAGCGATAAACAAACTGGTATTCACTTGAATATTTTGCCAACGTACACAATATTCGAATTATAAACACATTTATTGAAAAAAATTAAATTTTATTATTTTCACTTCAAACATTCAAAATTTCATTGGAAAAAACCAAAAAAAAAAAAAAAACACAAACTTTACCCCTTATTAAGAAGAACTTTTACCCGTTATTATCTGTATAAGAAGGTAGGTAAGTTTTCCTTATTTGAGCTCCACATTTGCCATTTGTGGTAATCCTATTATATGAGTAAGTGATTAGATGGGGATCTTAACAAAGCACGCTCTTTTTATTGTTATTGCAGGCCTGGGTCAATGAAATGGCAGCGCACGTTAAGTCCATTGATAATTACCATCTTCTAGAAATAGGGCACTGATTTTATGGTGACTCAAAGAAGCAATCAAATCCTAGCAACTTCCTCGTTGGCACTGATTTTATCTCCAACAACCAAATCCCACAAATAGATTTTGCCACCATTCATATCTACCCTGATGAATGGTATACCTTTTTTTTTTTTTTTTTTTGATCTTTAACTCATTGTAGCTTCATTTAGATCATAATTTATCTACAAGTCTCACTAGATTAATCCAATGTCAGTATGACAAATTCAAGTGAGGAAGAGCAAGCATAATTTGTGGATAGATGGATCCAAGCCCATATCCAAAACTCGAGTTCAGTGCTTGGAAAACCTCTTATCATAGGAGAGTTTGGCAAGCCTTCAAAGCTTCCTGGATATAGCCTGCAAAAAAGGGACAGTTATTTTGTGAAAATCTACAAGCCGAGGCCCATTTACTGGCGGGCTCTTATGGCAACTCATGGCCCAAGGAATGGAGAGCTTGGGTGATGGCGACCAGGTTGTCTTGGAGGAGTGTCCCTCGACCGCTAGTATCATTCATCTACAGTCTCACAAGTTACAATCTCTCACATACATGAAACACTAATAAGTTGATATTCCAAGTTAATGACGGATAGCGTTGAAATGGTTGCGAGAAAATAGATGTAAGATTAATACTAGGTTCAACAAACAACCTTTTGATACCTTATCCTGGAATGTTTTATTTTTCGAAAATGTTACTGATGATCATTTGCAAGACAAAACAATCATGCCAAAGATCAGATCATCATGAACATTGAACCAGAAGCAGATACGATTTCCTGGATGAAAAATCATGTACATAATAAAAGGTATTGCCATGTCAAAGAATTTTTAATGGAAAATCCTTGACATATCTATGGACCAGAAATCTTATCTCTCTGCTGGATGAACATAGGATTCAAAGTTCTGATAATACAAAAGTAACGGCATGATCAACCTATTACATATATGATCTTATTCTGCCCACAACCATGATCAACTCATGGATATACATGCACGCACCTTCTTGCCCCGACAAGTTTCAAAGTATTCCTATATGATCGTTCCATCCTTTATTAAAGAATTTTTCAATACCACAGTTATTCCTGATCTGACATAGAATCCCTCAGATGGTCTTTCTGCCTCTTGCACATTCTACAGCAATTCGAGCCAAAATTACAGAATTTTAGAATTTAAACATACTCTGGTCCTAACTGTTTCTTGAAAATGTAATAAATCATTAACTTTCTTTACCCCCTTTCCCTTCGAAGGAATTGCAGAAATTGGCGGTGCGGGACGGGGAAGAAAAGTAGTAGACAACTTTGCAGTATTACTTTGAACCATAAAAAGAAAAAAGAAAACTTTGCAGTAAGACTTACATCTTTGTTTGCTATGACCACATTCTTTCCAATTCTCGCATTCTTGTCGATTATACAATTCCTGCAGGATTACAGAAATAATCATATATACCTCATCAAGAATTACATTTTTGGCTCTGAAGGATTAAATTGAGAAACATTTATCACCACAAGAAAAAAATAAAAGGGTGCAGGACACATTTATACTGCATGCCAGATAAAATATCGTGTCCATCCTTTTCTTGTTGCATATGTCAACAAGCAAATAAAAAATCCTGAAATAATTTCAAGAGACCAAAAGTTGAAGAAAGGGATCCTCATATGCTCTCAAATATTTTTTTTTTTCTGCCAAAAACCTTGACCTGCAATTTGAAGACGTCTGTTCAAATATCAGATCTTTTTCTTCTGTGAACTTTTGTAATGAACTTACACAATTTTGGTATCTTTCCCGACACCAACTGGAACTCTTCCTTCTGCTAAAGAGGCTGCTATCTCAGCCTCTGTTTGATAATAATCAGCACCCATCATCATGGTATCCTGTGGAATACGATTCAGAACTATCATTCCAAATAGAAGAGTTGTAATACCTAGTTACATGTTTTGACTTCTGATAGAAGAAGAGCACCGATGCTATGGTTTTGATTCTGAAACATGTTCTCCTATTGAAAAGCAAGTGGAGAAAAGATCTCTGTAGGTGAACAAAAGTGGTCTGGATATATGACTGTCAGGCTTACAGGAACAAACTTCAGATGAAATCTACCAGATTTTCTACAGCATATTTATTCATGCTATATCATTGTGATGTACTTAAATTCTTCCAAATTAGTGGTCCAAATAACTCTGTCACCAAGGAACTGCTGGCATGCAGCTAGAAGAAACTACGTACAAGAAATGGTTTTCTTAACTTCAAAGTTCATTCCCAACTGACATTTATTTTCAGTCTATTATCCAGAATGTACTTTCTGTCATGTCTCTTCCTCACGTGCACTTTTATCTAGTTTGCGATTGCAAACAAAAGAATGAGAAGGGAATAGGTTACCTTCAGCTGAACTCCATATTCCAGCCTAGAGCGAATGCCGACAATCGAATGCTCAACACTACACTCCCTTAAAAAGCAACCATGCGAAACAATGGAATCCTTGACCTATAATAACTAAGAGTTAATGCACAAGCTCAGTTGGTGCAAACATGACCATGAGAATGCTACAGTATATAAGAAATGAGTATAAAATCATACCCGGCAATTCTCTATTTTAGTTGGTGGCAGAAATCGAGGAGAAGTGAAGATTGGTTTCAGAGGATCAAAGAAGTGAAAATTTGGGGGCTTCAAAAGTATGGAAAAATTTGGTGGATTAGAAAATCATTTCGGACCAAGAAAAAACTGCAGTCGCACAGTTTAAAGAAAACTACCTGATCTGTTAGGGCCAAGTTGGCATCGAAGAAAGATTTTATAGTTCCAATATCTTCCCAGTATCCATTGAAAAGATATGCCTGATATGGAGTGAACAAAGCTCCATCAGTTATTCCTTGAGTAAAAGTTAACAATTCCTTTCACTGGTGCAGATTCGCGTAGAAGCATTCTCATTTAAATCCAGTACTTGGAATATAGTTTGCAATGCAGAAAGGAAAACTTCATAAGGCCAGAAAAGGTATTATTTTAATCGATACAGTAATGAGCTCTAGATACAAGTTAAAACTGATTATTTTTTATTTAAGGAAATTACCTGAACATTATACTCTTTTGCAGACATTGGAATAATTTCTGATCCAAAATCATTGGCTGTTGGATAATTCCACCTGAAGCAGCAATTAGTATAGCAGAAAAAAGTAAGATTATTTCATGTGGCTCTTTACGGTTGGGAAGATTCTGTTTTTTTTTTCTTTCTTGCGAGGAAATGTGTTAAACTAGCGTAGCACGACTCATGAATTATGAAAGTGCCATACATTATTTTATTCAACCTTGCATAAAAATAAATTAGGATAAACCATATATTCTTCATATCTATGGTGTAAAGATCATTCCTTTCATCAAATTGCAGATTAACAATTCACTGGTCGCAACAAATAAAGCTGGCGACAATAAACAAAATCATTATTGTTTTGATCCATTTGTGCTCTCTACAGCAATATGCTCATGTCAAATGTCTCTTATAAATTAGTTAGAGAAACTAATGACAGTAGAACCCCCAAGAACAGCGTCAAACATGAGCTCATAAAACAGGATGGTTTCAAGAATCTGGCTTTAATTCAGTTAAGGTGGAGTCAGACTCCTTAATAGCAATACAAGCCATTCAAGGTATAATCAATACTCCGTGGCAGCATTCTTACGAGATACGGCAATGTAGAGCTTTACAAGCAACGCATGAATTTGGAGACAACAGAGCTTGGTAGCTGATAGACTAGCAAATCTAGTATGTGGACATGAAGACCAACATCTTTTTTTCCAATTATAGGGACCTACCTGTGGAGCCTAGAATTGCTTGTCGGCATGATAGATATGGTTTTTATAACCATCGAATATAGATTGTATTATTTTTTCAGGGTTAGGTCTCCTTGTCCCCTCATTTATGGGCTTAGGCTGAATTATTCCCCCTTGTATTTTTTTTTTCTTTTAATTAATAAAATTTCCATGGTACAGCCGCTATCTTTTTTTTTTTTTTTTTTAATTAAAAAAAGGATGGTTTTGATCTAAAGTATTCAGTCTTACAAAATTGATTAACTAAGCAGCTACATGTTGAATTGAACCAATAATAAGATGTGACTGGAATCTGGATGGTTGAAGCAGAACTTTGTTTTAGACGTGCATAAAACACAACTCATTAAGTATGAACTAAAATGGACTCAAGCTCTGCCTCAAGTTTAAAACTCAATTTTTGGTTTATAGTTGAGGAAAAACAGATGTTACAATAGTTTCAAAATTTGATTCGAAGTAAGCTTACAAAGCTGTGAAGAAAATTGTAAAGGAAAAGATGCATTTCTTGCATGCTACTTTACCTGAGAAGTTTTAGCAGCACATCTGTCTTGAACATATATATACCCATCGATGCAATGTATGGAAATTTCCGTGCATCTTGAACCGGTAATCCTAAAACAGTTGTATCCACCTTCTGAAACCACAAAAATTGTCAAGAAGAGATTTGTTAGTTTCAAACTACACAGATTTTCTGATATAGTTCCATGCATTATCTCATGAAGCTTAAACAGATAAAGTAACACACCATAGATCTCAAATTTTCACCCTTTGGCTTCTCAAGGAATTCCCTTATCTGTCCTGTTTCGTCAATCTTTACCAACCCAAAATCCGATGCACGGCTGCAGGTAAGAAGAAATAAAACCATAATGAACGAAGTAAAAGAGCTCTAAACAAGAACTTTTAATTAAATTCTGTTTTCTAGGTGGCGTTACAATCTGGAAGAAGGTAAGGATTGTGAAAAGCAAAAAAATCTATCATTAAAATTAGTTACCTGTCATTCACAGGAAGACAAGAGACAGATATGTCAGCAGCCGAATCAATATGCTTCTGCAGATAGAGATTGTATTTTTTAACAAAATTCACTTGAGGTTAGAAAATGAATGAAGTGATAACCATGTTTGAGGTGATGCTTAAACCTGCAAAAAGTCCATGTAATCCATTCGATAAAGATGATCACCAGATAATACCAGAATGTTCTCAATGTGTCTAAGCTTGGCATCCTGCAGAGATTACCACAAAATCTGCCACTTAAGATTGAAACATCAAAACCATATATTCACCTGGCTGAATGAGTCATCTGTGATCTACTTCCATTAGTTTTCCTATTCTAAATCTGCTAGGAAAGACAATTCTCAGAATCAAATTGCACTCGTAATAGAGATTTTCATACCTCAAACAACCACATAAATTGTCTTACAGCATCTGCTGTACCCTGAAACCACCTCTTTCCAGATTCACCGGGTGTTTGGGTAGCTGCTAGTACCTATCATGGTAAATGAAGCATAATTGCAACCGCAAAAGGGAAAAGACTATGATGTTATCGGCACCAAGCATATAGTTGATCCTAGCATATAAAATAGCATCATCAAAATAGAGTATAGCCTCTCACATTAATTTGGAGATTCAACATACCTCAACAAATCCATCACCAAAGTTTACACCATTTCCTTGATTATATGTTCGAGCAATATGGCAGTTAAGGGATTGAGAATTGAATTGAGTGAGGATGTAAATTTTGTTAATTCCACTGTTGATGCAATTACTCATTGGAACATCAATCAACCTGTAGCATCCCCCAATTGGTACCTAATTAAGTACCATATTAAGGAGACAAAATGTGATAAATTGGTAGGATTGAGAGAAGCAGCATTTTTCAATTAAATCGGATACTCCTATCTCAGGAGCATTAGAGTTACTTACAGCTGGTTTAGCCCTTCTTCGAGTAAGAGGAAAGAGTCTTGTTCCAGCTCCACCACCTAATATGATAGCAGCAACAGTCTTAGGGTCTGCTTCTTGTTTCTCAAACATTGATGCCTGAAAAGTCTATGTAGCAAATTCAAGTTGACCCAAATAACAGTTAGTTAACAATGGCTCATAAGGAAAATTATGCATTTATCGACACAGCAACATGCATATCAAATGAAGGTAAGAAGAGATGAGAGCACCATAAAGTCTTTGGTAAAATCGGCTAGAACTGCAGAAGTAGTTGAGAACCTTCTACTAGTATTCCATGTCTTCCTAGGGAAGTTCAATTTTGGTAGCTGAATACCAGAAATTGAGCTATATCTATCTGCATGTTCATTGCCCAGTTTACGCCCTACAAATAGTGATGACAGAAATATGTCATGTGGAGATGATTTCATCTTGGATGATACTGACATGAATCCATGCAACTCTCCCACCGCCATCTCTGCACAAATTATATGTACTAAGACCTAACTGTGCTCTTCTCTGCTTTATGTACTGCACAAGTAAAATGGAAGTTAAATAAAGTTACTTCAGATCAGATTATCAATGTGAACAAATTTCCACGACTATACCTGTTCCGAATGGGATTGGGAATGCATATATATCTGGCTCTCAAGTCTCAAGTTCAACCAATATAATGCACCTCATTAAATTTTTTTTTTTTAAAAAAAAAACCTTAATAACAAGCAATCTAATTGAAACAACAAAATCTAAGATTAAAAGAAAAGGATTGCCTAAAGTACTTACAAAGAGATATTTAAATAGAAAAAGGGGAATAATAATGTAGAATCAAGAAATGGGATCATACCTTTATTATACTTTTAAAATGAAAGGACTAGCAGCATTTTCTTGAGTTGCCTCAAAATGGAGCAAGGAATGGCTGTCCAATATCATTTAGCACATGACCATCACTCACTGCCATTTTTGTGTAAAGCTATTAAAAAAATGGGGGGTCTTTAGATAGCTTGAAACTGAGTTAAGTTTTCGAGATTCGCAGCCAACTTAGGAATAAAGCCAACCCCATGTGTTTCATACACGTTTCAAGGAAAGGAAGAACTTGGCAGAGTGAGCCAATTCCCTCTTCTTGGGGTTTTTGTTTCAAGTCTGAGCTAATACTAGCATCAACATGTGCTCATGCAAATCATCATTGAACGCACTTTTATCATTAATAATAGAAAATTCCATCAATCTAGAAGAAATAAACAATTACAGGCAGCAAATCACATGCAAATTACGTCCCATTTTCTTTTTCTTCTCCCCTACATACGTATTAAATGGGTCGGTCATATTGAGTGGTGACAGTGAAGGAACCCAGATGAAAGTTTCTTTGTGAGACTTTAAGTTCCACTTCCAATTGAGACGAGAGAGTCTAACAGGTTTGTTTAGTTTGAATTGTTCTTCTCACGGTTTTCATAACGACCCAGAATTACCGCATTAAAATCTTCCGAATTTTTTCTTTGAACAAAAAATATCTCGACATTTTGAGCGATTGATCCGGCTGGTTCCGTCCACTCATGTAAAATCTTTTTTTTTTTAATTTGCGCATAAAGTAATATTTACGGCAGTGAATAAGAAAGGAAGGTACAAGATACTGTTAAGAATAATTAAAAAAAATGTCTGATTGATTGCAGGAGCCCTAAATATTGCAGTTAATGATTAGAATATTACTATCCATGTAATAATTCTTCTCCTCTACGGTAACATATCTTCAAATTTTCTATGATACTTACGCTACCTGTGGACTCCTTAACAGGGTATTGTACTTAAACGACAGTTCAACATATAATAAGGGCGTATTTGTCTCTCATATTCTCGAGAATGAGGGCGGCGTATACATGTCATTATATTCACCCCGAAGGTCAAATGGTGCTCTTAATGAGTACTTCTAGATCTGGTAAAATAGGAGTCTTTCGTTTAGATTTCTGGACTCTCGGATGATAGTTGAAACTAGTAAAAATAATAATGTCATGGAAGGACAATTCTCAAAATTGACATGTCCACAGGCATGCTTCCTTGAAAAATCTGTACTTTTTGCTTCTCTGCTACATCCATGTATAACCTTCACAGTTTGTTGGATAAATTACACGCATCTCCTCACGTTTGTCAAAATTACAGGCACAGTTGAACTTCTGAAATCCTGATTACCTCCCATTCCCCCTCGTAAACAAATTTCAACAATAGAATTGACACCCAAAGCTTATAAAGGTCAAACATGAACAGATTTGTTTTTGCTTTATATAGAGGCCAAAACAAATTTGAGTTTCGGCTCAAGAGTCAAGATCAACCCACTGATAGGGCCTTGTGTGTTGTTGATTGATGTATCAATTCTAAAACTTCGTGTCTTCTTTTTCACTGTTCTCAGCAAGGACTAAGAGAAGCTATTTGCAAAGAAACTACAAGCATGACTAGCTGTACAAAAACACATATGAAGATAATTTTATATGCCTGAAATTATTTATCGATCCTGAGATTATTACATAGATGTCTTAGTTCAGGCCTTGAATCCATCCATGATACGAATTTCATTTCACTCGCTTTAGTGGAGTAGAGGTATGATCTGAATGTGATTAGAAAGAAGTACCTCCTGAAAAGTGGGCAAAAACAATTGGTTACATAATGCCAAATGCTATATAAAGTTGCCTAAGGAGCCATCAACCCGCTGCAATGCACATGAAAATGTGTTGTTCATTTCACAGTTTTGAAACACACACGAGTGCTTTTTGGAGTCTAGGAAACTTCTGGAAGTATACAAAAGTAGAAACTTCTGAGGTAGAAAAGGAAATTGCAGGATCATTAAGCATTGCAATAAAACATAAAATGTAGTATTCTAATTTGACACCAATTTATTTAGAAAATCCACACTATTACCATTAAATCACCATTCATACACTATGCTATATGCACGTAGGGGTACAGACATGTTTCCGGTGACATGAAAAACCGAAGTACTGCAGACATAAAGGACTACATCAAAGTCAACAGAATGCTTCATATTAAGTATTCCAGACCTTACGTAACTCAAAATAAGTTACTATTTTCTCATTTCTCAGAATACAAATGAAAAGTAAATGGCTGCTGCACGAAGTATTAAGAAGTTGCAAGACGATGGACAAGGCTAACCATGGTGATTTAAGACTAATACCATGAAATAGAAAGCACTGGCAGACCATTTCTCTTGAAGGACAACAGCTGAAGCCTTATAAAGGACAGATTTTAAATCCAACTTAGTCTAAGGTACCAAACTGTAATGGAATAAAGTGCACGTGCAAACCTTGTGGTTTTCTGTGTTGATTAATGTGAGGCAATAAGGACCATGCAGATTGAGTATATTTACCAAAGAAAAAGGAGGATTACAACAATACTCAGGCAAGGCTCTAAGATTAAATTGCTAAGGTTTATCAGCTAACCTTAATGCCTTAATGGCCATATCCATGAGGTATGCACGTTGCTCATCATCACCATCAGGAAACTTTCGAAGTTCCTTGATGTAATAAAGAATATCGTCACGCAAATGCCCTGCACCTGCACACCTTTAAAAGAAAGGAAGGATCTCAGCACAACAGATCAAATTATGGCAAAGTGGACCAATTAATCAGAAAATGTAGAAATTAACTAAAACAAAAGATAACTTCACACAACAAGATACCCCGTAGTTGTAAAGATTTTTCAATCCAAGTTGACAGAAGAACAAGCTAATCAGACAACACATTGTCACTTTCAGCTTTGTCCCAAGTTATGGAGAATCTATCATCATTTCCTAGAATTATGCCTCAACAACTATCATATAAACTTGCATTCAGTTATGGCCCCCTTTTTTATGAAAAAGGGATTAAAAGAAAGAAGACATACTTTTCGATAACAATGTCAACATCTGCTTTGCTCTTTGGACCATGGATGAGAACTCTTGTAAGACTAAGTATGTCACGGTAGTCACCCATCCTCAGTGCTTCTTCATCTGACATTTCAGATGGCAAGTTTGCTTCAGACATAGACAATGAACGTCTACCAACTGATGTTTGTGCAATATTTGACGAGAACTTTGCTTCCGAATCAAGTCTAATACAAATAATTGCCATTGCATAACCAACACCTCCAAACCCTGTGGGTGAAACAAAAAGGTAGCTCCCAGCGCAGCTACAAACAAAATTTAGTTAGATTTACAACACTATCTCTGCACTCAAGCATAATTTAAAAAAGTCTATTTTGAATAATGCCAAAAGAATACTCCCGGGTTTTCTATTTTGGTGAATGAAGGAATCTCCCAGCTAATACTCGCAATCCTCATACAGATCATAAATTGTGGGAAGTCCAAATGTCAAAACTCCAACTAAGAATCTAAAAATAATAGTCATCTGCTTCCATAGACAATCAACTAAACTAAACCTAAATACCAAACTATTTGACGTGGGCTAAATAAATCCAATTCTGTTATAAGCTAAACAATTTGAGTTGTCAGGATGCTAAAAGTCTGTTTCCAACAATGAACTTGCAAATAGTTTTGGACAAGGAAGTTGATTATTACTGTTTAACTCAAAAAGATAGTTGTCAACGACTTAAGACTACTTGAACTTTTTATTTACCTAAATTCTTTTGTACTTCTCAGAAAAATTAACTGTTAATTAAATATGCTACTAATTGACAGCTGATAGCTATCTTTCAGTGTGACTTTGCCATTATTTAGAAGGAACCAGATCAGTCACAATCAATGTCACAATGCCCGGAAACAAAGATGTCCATATTTGACAAATTTTTGGGGGACAAGTTACATTATTGCCAAAGATCAATCTATCAGTTACTATTTCCAAAGCCTGCGAAGTGATGCGTGTTTACTCAAGCCTTTCGGTAACTTTTGGACTAGTAATAACATGAACAATTGAAGAGACAAAAGGGCACAATTATGAAATAATTTCCACCATGTGGATAAAGAAAAATAATAACTTGGCAGCACCACTCTTTTTTGTCCAATTAAAATAGGTGCTAGAAAGAATAAAGTGAAATGGCATTGGTGCTGCCAGAGATACTTAAACAGCAGTCTGAAACCCAGACAAAATAATTATCTTCCAAGTTCCAACTACTAAGGTTATCAAATCTTAATAGAAACATTGCTACCAGACTTATAATTAAAGAGACAAATTGTGGTAAATATGGAACAGAGGATTTTGGTACTTACTCATCTTTACAATATTGTATTGCATCAACATCAGAAGCTAGTGCCTCCATCTCTCTCGTTAATGGAATCCTCCTATATGCTATATCGTAACCCTCAGCCTTTAGAGCAGCATACACTTCAGCTGGTGTCTTCACATCATCTGCAGAAATGTTCTCCCAATATCCTACGATACGGGGCTGATTTGTTGCTTGGTTATATTCTTCACGATGTAAAAGCATTCGACCACCAGACTGTCTAATCTGAGATACTATATCTTCTTTTAATCGGGCCTCCATGAGTTCTACCTGCATAACAGTTACAGGAAAGGAAATTAGTAACATATTCCACTTAATAGCTTGTTCTTTAAAGCAAAATATAATTCAACAATGACGAACCACTGAACCAGTTATCCCAACATGCTTGAGTGCATCAACAGGTTTATTTAGCTCCCTGAGGACAAAAGGTGTGCCATTGATGTAAACAAAAGCTTCTTCTCTGAGATCAGTCAATATCACTTTCTGAGCCAGAGATCCTTCTATCTTGGGCTTGGCACTCAAATACGCTAGCATCTCTTTGGCACCAGCAATCGTTGGAGTTGCCATGCTATACACAGGATATCCATCCACCTGAAGCAAAAGAAATATTGGGCTTAAAAAGGGGAACTTCCATCAGATTGTAATGACCTCTCCTTTTGTATTCACACAGTCAGCTTTTCCACAGAACCTTGACTGTCTGTGTATGTGCTTGTGTGTGTGTGTGTGTGTGTGGGTTCGTGTATGTGTGATCTGAATTAGTGAAAGAAAAAGGAAAATGCAGAACAAAACAAACTGGAATCAATTAAAAAATAAAATGAAGTGTCAAAAGGGATATTTCACCCATGATTCATCATTGATATAATTTCAGATGTAGGCATACCTTGTAAACATGTGGTGCTCCTTGAACTTGTATGTGGCTGGAAGTCCGCTGACCAGGAAAGAAATACATTTTGAGGATAGAACCTTTCCCCAAAACAGAACCATTACGGACCCTGACAGTGGCCTCCATTACTGCATCTCCATGCTGAGATTCCTGAGGTGTTCTCAACTCCTCCTGCTTGGAATAAAAACGACCATACATCCAAATTATAATAATGATAAAAGGGGGAATCTAGAGAAAAGAAGTATTCATTAAGCCCCAGAGTTTCCATGCCAAACAAAATAAGAAAATATACCGGGACAGTGAAAAAACGCCCTGGTCTTAATCGAATGCTCCATTTCATTGCTTGGACTTCAGGTCTTTGATGCAACCAACTCTTAAATGTCATCCTTGATTCTCCTTGTCCGCAAAATCCATCAAATACTTCACTTCCTAGATATGCTGCAAAGGCAATTAAACGGAAGTACCTCTCCAAGTATTCAGCACCACGGCTCAATGCTACTCTCCGGACTCTTGGCTCAACCTGTTGTTGATTGACCATCTTCCTGTATCGCAGAACGGCTTGGCGTATGTTCTGCAGAGCAGAGCATCTATCAATAATAGCATCCAAGGCCTCTCGGCATTCCATGCCATTATCAAATAATCTTGTTATCTTCCATAGCAGCAGGATATCATCAATACCAAAAGCACGACTTTGCTCCATATCAGTTTTTACACTGGCAATGTCGGAGATGGATGCAGCAGTGTCACCTCCAGTATCTTCACCACTTGAGCTTCCGCTTTCCACCTCTTCATGGGTCACATCGTCAGCTAAGACTCTAATTGGTCTTCCATAATGTATTCTAAGTTTCAGAAGGCAAGCAATTACAGTGCCAGTTGTAGTCCTTCCCCTTCCCATCTGTATTTATTAGAAAGACATTCAGGTGAAGGACAACAAAAAAAAAAAAAAAAAAAAAAAAAAAAAAAGGAACAGTTCCATATAAATTAATGAAGACATCCATGCACATGCCCAACAGCAGCAGCGTGAGAATGAAATTTTAACCTGGCAATTGAAAACGAAAGCAGTATCCTTTGAAGCAGAAGCAATATTGACTGTCAATGTGTCAAAATCGGAACTTTTAGGAGCTTTACCATCTGTGATTGGAACACGAGCATACTTAATAGGAAAACCATCAGTATCTAAGCCTTTGAACACCTCAAGTGGGGTCTTAACAGAATCAGAATCTACATGCTCCCAAGCATCAAAAATTTGACCATCATCTGTTTCATGAATGACCATTATAGCACCTCCATAGCGTTCAGCTTCCCGCAAGATATCTTCTTTCAGTCGAGCTTCCATCCTCTCCACTCTCTCACGACCAATTCCCTGAATGCGGTCATCATAATCTCAACTTTACCAACTATGGAAACCAGGAAAAAGAAATTGTGCAAAGCTAACACCAAAAAAGTCGGTACACCTCAAAATGTAATATAGCCCATGTGAGGTATCAGTGTTCTAGAAAAAGCTCCCTATATATGTTGGCCACAATTCCTATGGACCCATAATATGAAAAAAATTAGTTGATTTTGATACCTAAGCAGAAGTCATGAAATGTTAACAGTTCGTAAAAGCTTTTCCTCCGTTCTAAAAAATGTGTCTATAGCAATTATTCAGGACTCCAGACCAAGGTTCCACCTTGATAAAATTCATATGATTTCCATCAGGAGCCTTACAGATGTGTGTGAGGAAAGTCTGCCAGGATCGATGAAATTGCTTTTGACACGTCTGTGCCATCCATCCAGAAAAGAGAGCTAAGTAGCATGTATATCTAAAGGGAAAAACTATTTTAACAAGAGATCTGATAAAGAAAAAAAATGACAAGGTCATATATGATCTTGGTTTCCATGAATTAGATATGGAATGACATGGCTACCAGGATAAGACAATATCAAGGTTGTTATTGATAATTTATCATGAATCATATATCAACTTGCATCATTGCATGATAAACCCAATTTCAAACACACTTGGATGGTTTTTCTATTCAGATAAATTCTATTTATGCACCATAATGCTAATGATGATGGTTATTCTGCTGAATGGAAGATTTAGCAACCAAAGAGGCTAGGTCAACTATCTGCCGCATGCACATCTACATCCACTTCAATGAAGCTGACGAGTTGGCAATTGTGGGAAAGTAAAAAAAATACTTACTGTGTATTCCAGCATGTTTTTATATGGTCTTTCAACCTCACGGAGTACAAATGGCTTTCCATTTATGTAGATAACAGGTTCTTCTCTCATATTATGCCAAAAAACTGGGCGACCACCTTTAGAGCTGCCAATCCTTCGAATGACAGAAAGAATACCATCAATGGTTGGATTTGCAACCCCATAAACTGGAAAGCCAGGAACTTCTCGGAAATTAGGTGCACCATCCACTCTCTCCAGTAAACCAGGGTGTTGACAACCAGGACAGTGGTCACTTTTTAGAACAGTCTGACTTCCTAACACCTCCCCTTTTCTCAATGCGGCAACTACACCCATCTCATGAGGTCGGCCATCAGCAGATTCAGCAATCTTCTTTAGAGATGGCTTGAGACTCACATATCCAAGTGCACCCATTGGGTCTCTCCTGAGCAACCTGCAACAAGGATGGTTGAAGCAAAATAAGTTCCACAGGATCTGCAGCTGCAGACACATATTGATATGTATGAGGTTGCATTCTAATTGGAAAAGAGAGGTTGACATCAAACTACAAAAAGCTGGACATGGAATGTAAGGAAGTGCCAAAAGTTATAGTGTTGAAATATGTTTAACCCGATTGAGTTTGCTTACTTGTAGATGATTCTATACATTGTAACACATATAACAATAAACAAGTTTCCTGAAAAAGAGCTAGGCGACTCGATATCTTTCAATGAAGGTTTCAGTTTCATAACTGTCCAAACAAGTACCAGGTGACTTTGATGGTTATACATTTTGGATTTTAAGTGTCCAACTTAAGTATCTTAGTTTAAGGTTTTACAAAAATAATAGCCAGCACTGCAAGCTGAGAATAAACAGGTGGGGGTGGGATTTCAATCACCAGAACATAATTTTCAGGCACATTAAATTTCTTAAGCTTATATCTATAGAAAACACCACATCACGAGGAAGAGATTGAAGCATCCAACAGTTTAACGAAATGGAAAGCCAACAGAATTTTCAGCGCTTCCACATACAAATCACAACCTTCACTTTTTCAGTCCGATATGGAAGAAAAATAGGATACAAGTCTGGAGATTCCCATAAAACAAACCAACACTAGCACCACATATATTTACCTACGAATAATGCTATAAAGTTCTGGGCGTGCTCGCATCCAGTCTGCAAAACTGCTATGACCAAAAGAACTAGAACGGAGGGCATCTCTCTCTGAGTGAATATATACAGCAAAACATATGAGGAAGTAATATCTTTCCAAGTATTCCACAAAAAATGAAAGCGATGCCTCTCGCTTCATCTCATCGGGTTGACGAAGAATACTATTGCGATAATTGGCAATTGCTTCACGTAAGTTCTGTAGTTCAAATAATTCATTTAGGCGAATTCTAAAATGAAACACAGAAGCAAAAATTCCATGCTTCTTACAAATTCCTTACTAGATTAAGATAAATTATAGGCCGATACCTGCATGGAGGCACACTTGTCAATGACTTTATCCACCTGTTTTTTCCCTTCAACACCACCCTAAACACGTCACCAATTAGTGAAATTTCAAAAACATGCCAAGTGCTTCTAAGGACAACGAGAACACACTAACAAAAATAAATAAATATCAAAAGGGAAGGAAAAAATCAATTAAAGCTAACATTAATTACCTCTAAAACCCGGATCAGACTTCTGATGACTGCATATTCTCCTCTGCGAAGTGCCTCCTCTGAGTTTGGCAAATTTTCTTTGACATTCAAACCAAAGTCAAAGATTCTCCCTACTGAATTGGTTCGCTGAATACCTATTTTCACGTGACATGATGACAAAGACAATGTCAGTAACTATCATGATTAAAACATTCAACCTACACACCTTTCAACAAAATCAATTCCCATAAAAATTATAATTCAAATTCATTTTAGAAAGCAAAGTATATCAACAAGTTTTTTGAAGCAATCTGTTTTATCTGTTCAAGCAGGGCTTCACATATTTATTGGCTTCTCGTTACATATGCATGACTATTCTCTCATTTTTTACACCAAAGCTGAAAATTTAAAAGCTATTTTCCAGAATCCGACTTGATCTTAGAGTGGATAGTACTTTAAAATATAGTAGATAAAGCAAGGTCATTTCTTCTGTATTGTTTCAAGTTCTGGTCCACCACCCTAGATTGTCAATTAATGTCTTCTCTAAGTTAGCACACTGCTCTTGGCAGTTTCTAAGCTAAATCCTCGCATGGCCAGCAGATTTAAAAATTAGTGTGTAAACGATGTTCTTTTAAGAGCAAAATTTGAGAAGTAGCCTCATCTTTGAATATATGCATTCGTGGAAAGTGGAGAGATGGACTGAAAAGCTACACACTCTCATATTGCGGTAAAGACAACTAATTAGAGCAGGGATAGGCCAATTTGATCCATATAATAGTATTTCAAGTTTGAAGTATTTTAGTAAAGGAGACCTCATAAGGAGAATATGGAGAGAGAACTGCCAGGAGATGACATATGAATGAAAAAGCAACCTGCTCTTCTATAAATACAAGCACCAGGCCTCTCCCAAACTATTTCGGATCCTTTTGCACCCTTAAGGGTGATCATACACCAAATCTGTCATTGGTTCACAGCAGCACCAAGGAAGAGTATTACTTTAGCTGTCCCATTATAATACTTTTAACAGCATTGGTGCAAGAAAATCTACACTGTTTTTCTTCAGGAACATCTTGATCATTGTTCATAATCAAGTAAACTCTTCATCCCACAAAATATCTCTAAATGAGAATTTTAATTTATTTTTTAATATAAAAAATGAATTCAGCATTCAAGTTATAAAAGATTTAAAAATCTTCAAGTCGAGGGAATTATTTATTTTTAATATAGAAATTCAACCACATTTTTTGAATCATATGCTATAGGGAGTATATGCATAGTCCAAGTCTGTAGTTGGTTTGGAATTTGGAACTGTCGTTAGGAGAAGTGCTCCAACAGCTCCTGCAAATCCCAATCCTTCACATAAATACAAGCGGAATTAACCATTTACAAGTTCTGATGGAATAGATTATGAGGAGGGAGCTCCAGCTAATATCTTAGAGCAAGTTTCTCCATCTCCTTGCACACTCACATAACTTGGAACAAGTTTCTCCATCTCCATACACACTTACATCATGTAAAAGAAGGATCTGAATTTTGCGGACTTTTTAAATTGATTTGATATGATACTAATGAAAAGTAATATTGAAGTAATGGAACCTTCAGCCTTTTCCCAAAAATACAATCAAAACATAAATATTACAATTTACTCATCCTCCCTACAGTGACCACCCTAACATGGAAGTATATGGAATAAAAAGAAAATTAGTGACAACAGTTCAATAAAAGGGAGCAAAACAGTTGATAAACAACTAGAAACAAAGATAGAGAATGAACAAAATAAAACTCATCTTGAAACACTGAAATTCAGCCAGACAATCAAGATCATGAAACTGAGGTAACATGCAAGATTCAAAGTTGGCCTAAATTATGTTAACAAGAATGCTGACTGTGGGCATATTAAATAGATTGTAAGATTAGTAGAGAAAGAGAAAATGTTACCAGAATCTCCAATCCGATTGAGGTATACCAAAGTTGCTATCACCATCCCAGTTGTAGTCCTTCCACGCCCCATTTGACAATTAAATATTATATCTGCATTCAAGTCAGTCTGATAGATTCTATCGACCTGAAACAAAGAAAGTAGGCAAATTTATTTTAGAAAAACTGAATACTGATCATAATCAAACAAATATCTGAACCGCCACTGGTCATGTTTGTTGCAGAGTTGGATTTTCATGATTCATGGTTGGAACAAGAACATGCATCATTGCATCTAAACATAAAAAGGAATTTGGCAGCATATCATTTGCAAAAAAATATTCTCTCATTTGTCTTCAAAAATTGATATTTTGAGACATGAGGCATTCTAAATTCTACTGCTCTGACTATGCTATCTTCTTGCATGTACTCATTCAAGGTTGATGGCAGATTAAGCATGGAGTTATGGTACAACGCTTCAGTTCCAAATTGGAATCCAGTTTCTGTAGATCCTGGTTCAGTTGAAGGCCTCAGGATATGTAGAATTGCCATCAAGAGAAATTCTGGTGTTCAAGAAGACAACAAACCAACTCTTGTGGGCTAGCACAAGTGGTTAAGACTTGGACTTGGGTATGGAGAGGTCATGGATTCAAGTCTTCACTTTGATAGCTAATGAAATTTTTTGTATACCTAACATGTCGTACATTGGATATCTTTGCTCCTGTGATGATTAAGTTCAGAAGTACCATCATATATTAGAAGGTAATGAAGTTTTTTACATGTTAATGGATATAAAATGCAACCTTCCACATGCCAATAACAAATTGAGCAGTCCCCTAACAGTCACTCTAGATTCAGGCAAAGAAAGGTAGAATTTGAAATTGCTATTTTCAAGTTATGCACTAGAATTCAAAAAGGTCATAGAAACAGTGCCTAAGTTACTGCTAATGTATAAGTGCATTTGAAAAAAAAAAAAGATGTAAAGGAAAATTCCTCTGCAAACAAATAATTGATGGGTCGAAGGGACAACGAATCTAACTAAACAATTATTTGTTCAGTCGATTTATTGAAAGAAGAAGAAGAAGAAGAAGAGGAGGAGGAGGAAGAAGAACAAGGTGCTAAACAAGAACTAAAAAATGAAACTCACTAAGGTATCAAAATCCTGCTCCTCTGGAGATTTTTCATCCGTTATAGGAACTCGTTCATAATCATACAGATATCCTTCTGCTTGCAAATCCTCATACACCTTCACAATGGAATCAAGTTGCAACAATAAGTTAGAAAATCAGTAGATTAATTGTGTTTAGTTATTTCACAAGCAAAATGAGTTACGTGGTTATGCCTCTAATGGTGTCTTCACAGAATCACATGACACTGGTTCCCATTGGTCCACCATCTGACCATCCGGCAGTTCATCTGTGACAAGTATCTTATTTCCATATCTGTAAATCAAATATGCAAATATAGTTTATTATATAGTTCAAAGGAATAGTAACCAAAGGTAAACATGAAGTATCATAAGAAACTAACGAATAATGCAGCATTCAACCACAGGAAATACCTTGCAGCTTCCATCAGAATATCCTCTTTCAACCGGGCCTCCATTTCTTCAACCCTAGACCTGTTTATTCCCTATTTGAGCACAGAAAGTCACTATCAAGTTGATACAAGAAATACAATGCAGTACTTGTTTGCATGACTGCTGTTGTCAACCATGTGCATCTACACATATACAAGCTAGCATGAACTGTTTGACCGAACATATTATATTCACTAAACCTCCTCATTAACCAAAAATTAAACATGAATGAGAGATTATGTAAACCACATTGAATTAAATCAAACCATTCTGGATGTTAGAGAGACAATTTATTTCAAAGCAAGCAAATTCTCGCATTTACATCACCAAATAAACCATTTTAGTGTTAAAGCTACAACCAAACACACAAATTCTAGGCTACAATGTGGAAATTTTAGAAGGTAAACATGAGATACAAGTACGGTAAGAAAAGATATAGCAGATTAAGGTAAAAGCAAGTAAAAAGAAAAAAAAATCCTTTACAAGTAGCATACCGTATATTCAAGGTTGGAGAAAGGCCTCTCCACATCACGCAAGACAAAGGGACGTCCATTAATATACACCAACTGTTTCAATGGAGGAAAAAAAAAAACAAATGTGATAACTGTAACATGTGGATTCAATATACTTTGAAGGAACAAAAGCATAGAAACATTCAAAAGTTACTGACACTTTGACATGATTTTTATCATTATGTTGCTTCCATTGGCATTTTCAGTACTGATCATCCATTTTTTCAAATACAAAAAAGGAAATAAAATAATACATGAGCTATGACTATAATCCATTACTTTAATTTATAATGATTACCGAAAAGTGAATTAAGCACATAACTAAGAATGGGGAAAAAGAAAAGTTGCATTTTGGCAAATAGCTTTACCGGTTCTTCACGAAGGTTAAACCATAAAACTTGTGCTTGCTTCCCATCTTTCTGATCTCTTATATGCTTAATAACATTACGACATCCTTCTATTGTTGGAATCGCAACACCATGCACAGATAACGAATCCGCCTATCAAAGCAACCATAAATAAGCGAAAAATAATTAGTAAAATAAAATGCAATTAATGACAATTCATTAATATAATAAATATTATTTTACAGTGACCAATGCTTTTGGTCATTGACATTTTCTTTTTTACAGGATTAGAAGCTGCATAAGACAAATGAGGCTCTTAAATAAGCTCATGCTTAACTTCTAATTCTTTAAGCAAAACGTTAATTAAAGAAGAGTGAAAGCGGAAAGCGATACATGATTTTAGTTGGTTTCTTTCTTTCTTTCTAGCTACAACGAATTAAAGAAGGAAAAAAAATCCTAATCTCAAAAAAGAAAAAAAGAAAAAAAATAAGGCAATATGCACCTAAATAGGGGAATTTCAAATGTTTCAATCAAAGAAAGAAGAAAAATGGAAAGAGAGAGAAAGAAAGAGAACCTGACGGTAATTGGGAGCGCCGTCGATTTGAGGAGTTAAGCGCTTATTTTGACAGCCAGGGAAATGGTCGCTTTTAAGAATGGTCTTCTTTCCCAGTACTGATCCACCTCTCAGTTTCATCACCTGCTCCGGTTCTTTTTGGACCACCGCCATCGACATGTCTCTTTTTTCCTTCGTTTTCTTGATTTTAATTCTGATTTTCTACGCTTTCACCACTACTCTTAGCTCTTCTTATTCACTATTTGTTCGCAATTCACATTAAAGTAAATTTAAAATGCCAAACCGGTCCACACAACAATATCGCAATACCTGAATTTATAGAGCGAAAGTAGAGAGGCTTTGAAGAAAGTTTGGAGAAGAAGAAAAGTTAAGGGGGGAGTTACAACTATAAAGAGATAGAGATAGAGATGGATAATAAATAAAATATTTTATAAAGAAATTTACCAGTTTACTCTTAGATATATATATAATAAGCACACAGGCAGGCAAGGCATAAAAAAACAACAACAAACTCAGGTGGAGTAATTTATTATGGATGCATGTGCGCCACAAATGAGTTCGACTCTTCCCTATTCCTTCTTATTTTTAGCTTGATTTCTTCCTTTCTTGCTTGCTCTCTGGTGGGGTCATCATTGCTCGCTATTGAGAGACTCCTCTTCAATGAAAAAGGTGTGACTCCCTCAGCTCTAAATTCCCATCTCTACAGCAGCAACGTGAAAGGCGTGGATTATTTTGTATGCTTGAAATCTTTTTCTTTTTCTTTTTCTTTTTTTTTCTTTTGTGATTCGCTAATGGAAAGGGAGTCTTTTTAGGATATTCTTTTCCATTGGCTGGCAGGATACCAAACCGCCCATCACGAGTCGCCACCTAACTCTTATTTCGATTTCGGATTAGCCTGTGCGCCCCGCCCCTTGGAATTCCTGTTTATATCTCGGGTACTGTTTCCTATTTTGTTGATCGAAACCTTATGCTAGATGATGATGATGATAATAATAATAAATAAACTGCTTTCTGAAAAAGATCTGGGAATTCAGTTGGGAAGAAAGTGACAAGATTTATGATATATCAGTCGTAATCCCATGGCCCATTTAAATCAATAATGGGATGAATAAGTTAGATTGCTTGTCCTCCTATTATAAATTCTAAGTATTCATTTTTTTTCGAGGAGACGATATTAAACAACAAACTATGAGATTTTTTTTCCCTAAAATTGAATATAAAGATATTTTCTATTCGTATTTTAAAAATATAAATATGCATTTTTTTCACTCTTGTTTTACAAAGTTATAAATAGATTTAAAGCTATTTAATTCCATTTGAAAATCTAGAAGGACTGATTTATAATTTACTCTTTGAAGGGGAAGGAATAAAGAAAGGCTTGAAGATTTTCTGAATCAAGCTCAACTAACTCGTGTGTCATGCCCAACAAGCAACCTTCATTACTTGCATAAATTAAACCGAAAATATCACGAAGCATATGACACGCGGTTACATGCATATAAGGAAAGATTTCAGTCTCGGTCACAGGATGATCTGGAGTTATAAGTCATATCAAATTAATTATATCGCATATAACAGTAACAAAAATGCGCAAAGCATTCTCATTCGTTGTTTACATTATCTTCTGAAACCGTATTTTTGCGCCAATCTTTGACTTTTGTTTTTTTTTGTTTTTTTGTTTTTGCTAGTACAGTGATGACATACTTGAACTAATGTCACCAAGTTCGAACTAACCAAACAAATAATATTAACACCAATTATTACAATTAATTATTCTTAATCTTACATTAAGATTTGATTCCATTTACATGAATAGATTGAAATAGTATAATCATTTTTGTAACGGATTTTACACACAAAATGAAACGTGCAAAAAAACGTGATGTAATTCCACAGTATGGTACTTCCTTTTAAAAGTGGCCACGATGATGCTTTCGTGTAAAGGAGTTACTTTAATTTATTTACCAAAAGGCACATCGGACGATGAGGTGGGTACTAGTCAGCCTGGACAACTTCACCGTTGAATGATTCGATGTTTTCCACTTTTATCATATATCACTCTCTGTCCTTTCCCATCATTCGATGCTAGAAAAACACGTGTCATCTAACAGGGATCTCTCTTTTTCTTTCTCAGTTCCTACTGCGTTCCACACCAACTCCAAGAACGCGTTCTGATCACTTGGAAAATGTGTGGAGACAATATATAATTAATTTGAGTAAATAATATCGATTCAGATTTAAATGTGATTGGATTCTAAGAATGGTGATTGTTAAGGTTTTAAAAAAGAAAAAAAATCATAGAAGTATTTTTTGGTGGGAAAAAATTTTAAAACCTAAAGAAAGCTAAAAAGATATATAATAGTTTGATTGGTACATAATAAACAATAATATTTGTATTGGAACTGGTTAAAAAAACTCTAACGAAGTACTTCTATTTTGGTAGAGAACTTCGATTTAATAACTAGTTAAACTCAAAAGCTAAACTATTTGTTAATACGAATCTTTCTTTAATATTATTTTCTAGATAAACAACGATCCTGCTGGAAACAACTCAGGAAACATAATCCTTGCAATTGCTGGATTTACTGCCAAGCAATCGTTATTATGGATCCCTCTTCCGAATGGTCTATCCCTTTCAAGTTTGCCAAATATCCGACTCAAAAGCTTATGGTCAATTGAAAAAGGTTTTGTTTTTTTTTTTTTTTTTTTAATGCAAACACATTCCAGACGAACAAATAAATACAGGACAACTGTAATCTTCATTCCGTACACGGAAATTAATTGCAAGACCAGCCACTGTCATTTTCTTTGAACAGCGATCGAACTTGCTTGCCCACAAAGACTCCATCGTAGTGGCATTGCTTGTACGAACTAGATTCAACTTTCTAAATCAAAATTGCTGCTGTTATAGCAGCACAACTTAGGTAATTTGCTGCCGATGACAATGTAGTTCTTTTTCAAGAGATTTCATTTTACTACTAACATAAAAAGGGTCAACCCATCCTCTTACGTAGATTACGAAACTCCTTCAGTTAGTATTATTAACATGTAGAAGCAGATTACCAAATCAAACTGGAAATACTTAACATCAGATTATGACGCAGACAGAAGATGCCACGTGAAATGCACCAAGAAGGTCAATCTGATGTCAGTAAACATTAAGTGATATAATATCTAGTTATCTACTTTGTCTTTGATTCTCACAAAAACAGGAAACAGCCAACGCAAATTTCACCTGAGAAAGATAACCGTTTACATAAATTGCGTACAGCACAAAGCCCATTTTTAATCACAAGAACCCATGATTGATACATAAATTGCAACACTTCGAGATATAATAATTAATCTGTTATCAAGCCGAAGCATCCTCATGAGTATAGGTACTCGCAACCTCCCTAACAAGATTCCTGGTCGAGGGCAAGCCAGCAACCGCATCCCCTTCAATACCACACTCATTTGCTCCCCTTCTAATCTTGAAGAAACCATCCTGTCATTAAAAAGGAAATTGCACTTCAACAATTGAGAAGAAACATTTTGTGTTTGTTTAGTTATCCAACATGGAGAGAATTTTGACAGAAACTTACATCACCCCAGCCTTTATTCCACTGATTAGCAAGAAGCTGCACAAGGAGAGTAATTACATTATCGTGGAAAACTACTGGCTATAAAATCTGGGAGGCAAAAAAAAAAGAAAAAAGATAATCAGTCTTGGATACCCAATAATCCTCCCCGTCTTCAGAAGTTCCCCAACCAATAAGCTTAACAGCGTGGCCTCCCATCATACCACCTGTTATGTGCTTGTAGACTCCCGATTTATAATGAGCAAAATCCTGTAAAATGGGGGGCAAAAAAAACCCTCTTATGATCAAATAAGACATATTTCCTATGTTTGTCTTCCAGCAAATTGCACATTACCAATTTGTAATAATAGGCAACTTGTGTCCTGCATAATGAAAAGTAACAGTAGAAGCAGATAAGGAGTTCCATATTTTAAACATATCACATCTTCACTGAGGTTGTTTCTCCACACAAAGCAATAGTTGATAGTTTCTTCTGCTTGATGAGTTACTTTCAAGCACATCAAAAGTTAAGCAAATGCAAGTACAAGATGATGAAATAAGTGCATTTGTTTACCTCATAAACATCAAAGGCAACCTCAACTGGCCCATTCGCATAAATTTCTGCCATGATACTGTCAGGGTCAGAAGCAATTCTGTATGGCTTGACACCATAGTGCTTTGAATTTTTCCAGAGCTGGTTCTTATTGACGCACTTTCGCACACACTTTGGCGTGGGATATCCAGGCTCACAACCAGGGTGAGAACAGCCAATATCATCAAAGTATGGGTCACACTGCCAGATGAAAAAAAAATTCATCATTGGAACGAGTACATTAGCCATGGTAAGAAGCCATCAGACTAAAGCAATAACATTTGGTAAGACATCAGGTAAGATATATTAGGCATGAACAAAGAGTGAGAAACCTTAATTTTCTATTCGGCAATCGTCATTGTTAAAAAAACTCCGACTGGTTAATAGGCAAGGACAGAAACTAGTACCTCCTCGGTGACAACACCATGATGGACAAAGTATCTCCATGCAGAAATTGGATACCCTCCATCACAACCAAGTCCGCACAAAAAGCCACAGCATGCTAAGACATCATTGACCGACAGAGATATGTTCTGCAATAAAACAATATACATGTTTATGATGGACAACAAGAAAAAAAGTCAACTTTAATCACAAGACTCGGTTACCATGCCAAAATGGATACAAAATCGATCTGATAGTGACTCGACAGCACCAAATGCCCAGCAAGATCCACAATGACCCTGGTTTATCAAAATCCAAATGTGCTGAGAACTAGTACGACTTATTTATATGATTTGATTAAAAGTGAAATGACCACAGAAATTTTACCTGATCTTCAATTTGGAAAGTAGTCCAACATTTGGCATATAAAATGGAAAAGAATCAGCACCTTGAGAAAAAATACAAGAATTAGAAAAGCAAGAAAGCAACTGACCTAGAATTCTTCCTATCGTATTACACTGTGGCCAAGCTGTTCTTGCATCAAATTCTTTTGGCAATATCAAGGATTTTGGATGACTTATAACAGGAATTCCCCTCAATTCCTCTTTTGGAGTTGGTTTGACTCCAAGAAGATACTTGAATTGGCCAACCTATGCATAAAAAGATGAAAATATTAAGCAATTTTTTTTTAAAGGCCTACATCCGCCTATATGTAAATCGAAAAAAGGAAGGGAAGTCTTAGAACAATATCAAACAGTCATAAAAGGTGTCTCGTCAGTTAAAGACTCACAGTATAATTGGAAAATTGATGATTCAAGGTAGCTTTCCATCCAGCCTTGGGGTTTTCATTGACCTTTTTAATGATTGACTCCTGCATGATCATAGTTAACCAAAAGGAAAAATAAATGATAAGCAAAGCATTCAACACAAAAAAGACTTCACATAAGATTTGCAAAAGAAAAGTACCTGGAGAATCCTAGAGCTGAGCTTGAGCTCGGAAACTGGTTCCACTGCAATGACCTGTTGGCAGTTACATTATCAAACGAATCCAACACCAAACCGGTAACTTCCATAACTCAATACATAAAGACAGAACATCCAACAACGGAAACAGAATGCACTAATATCCAGAAAATTGTTTTGCACATTCCAATTAAAAAAAAAAGTTCCAAAGAAAATCAATCAAAACTGTCTAATAAAAATGATGAAATTAGAAAAAAATAATAATCAATTTTGATATTGCCAAATCAATCCTCAATTTTTCACGAGATAAAGGTTTGTTTCACTGCAAGTGAAGATAATGCGATTTTGACATCACAATTTCTGCTGCTTCTATTTTCCCTCTCTGTCCAAACGGTTCCCTAATTGCTGGGAGATACAGTTATTTGCTGTTTCTATGTAATCGAAAAAGGTAACATTAGCTTGATCATATCTACCGGATTCTCTAAATGTGTAAAATCTGATATCCACCAAAATTGGAAATAGAAGTTTGCATAGAGATTCTTTTTGATAAATATGTTCCATAGATTCGTGAATATTTAAAACTGAAAAGAAGATGATCGGGTTTCCCAAATTTGTTCTTGAAAAAAAAGAGTTTGTAACCTGTACGCAAGTACCTGAGAGTAAAAGGTAAAGAAGGCCGCAAGAAGCAACAACAGAGTGGAAAAGCAGAGAGTAGCAGCCATTTGCCCCTTCCTCTGTCCTGGATGGCGAAAGGAAGGAGAAGATAGAGATACCCGGCAGTCGTTTGGTGCCAAATAAAGGAGGACCTTTGACCCTTATTATTAGGAGGAGAGAGTGATTTAAAAGGGGGCAAAAAAAAAAAAAAACCCTAATTTCAGTTTACCCCTGAATTTTGGGGCGATTATAGTTTCTTCCTGTAAAGTTTCGATTGTATCAAAGTCCTCCGAAAGTTTCAGTCACTATTTGACTAATTGAATTTTTTCCCGGTCTCTAAATTTTTTAAATTTGATCGAATATAATTTTTTTTTAAATAATTTAATATAAATAGTATTATTTGGATGTGAAGTAAAAGATTTAGTCTCGTAAAATTATTTTGAAAAAAAATGACTTAATTAAATTTTAAAAGTTTAGGAATTAAAAAAAAACATCGATTTAATCCCGGAAAGATAAAGAGATAAATGAAAACCAACCCCAAAAAAGGTCAGAGCGCTATCAAACAAAAAGGGGCAAATCTATCCGGGCTAGCAAATGTATATGGTCCCCCTATTTTCAATTTTACATCATTATCTTTTGTCCTAATGTCACTCTCCAATTTCATACTCCTCTAATCATTTGGTCCCCGCCAAAATAAAAGAGGTGGCTGTAGAGTGTAGAGGATAAAATTGGAATAAAAACAAGAGGATGATGAAAGTAGAACATTTTCACTTAAACATTTCAATCACGTCGAGTCTTCATGAAGATAGCATCCCCGATGTAGTTCCGAGATCATCATACATAGATCACATTCAATAGCCCTCTTTTGCATAATCTATCACTCCGACACATGATTCATACATAAATTACATGGCATCTGAATTTGATAATCCATTATCGAGCAGAAGCATGCTCATGGGCATGGCATCGATGCTGACAACTTCTCTAACGAGGTTCCTGGTTGAACGCAAGCCAGCAAAAACATCCTCTTCAAGACCACACTCAGTTGTTCGTCTTTTATTCTTAAAGTACCCATCCTGTGATTCAACATCAAATTGCATGTCAGCATTTCAGAAAACTTTTTATGACAGTAATTCATCATGGAGAAAATTCCAATCAAAAGAGCCTACATCACCCAGCCTCTATCCGCTGATTAGCAAGAAGCTGCAACAAAAAGAGTACGTAATTCATAAGAAAATAATGGGGATGAAATCTGAAAATAAAAAATGATAATTATTAACACATACCCAATAATCCTCCTCAGCATCGGAAGTCCCCCACCCGATAAGCTTAACAGCACGGCGTCCCACGACTTCACCTGTTATGTGCATGTAACCTTCTGATTTATAATGAGCAAAATCCTGTAGAATGGTAAACAGGTTATTTCGATTAATTAAGGTAACATGGTATATTTCCCAGGCACATTTCTCTTCATGCAATTTGCATGGCACTGCTGGGTAACTTTCGTCCACATGAATGAAAAGTGCAAGCACAACTAAGAAAGAGATTCGTATTTAAGAGATCAAATGCTTGCAAACTCCCACCAATGTTATCCTTACTTGTGTAGAAGCAATACTCATAATTTCTTCAGCTTAACAAGCAAGCTATAGTTAAACACTGCAAAAGAATTAAAGTTCACCAAGTGTGAGCAAAAGAGAATGAACAAAGTTTTTACCTCATAAACAGTGACGGAGACCTCTACTGGTCCGTTCCTAGAAACTTCGGCCATGATACTGTGGCGATCGGAATCAATTCTATACGCATTAACAACGAAGTGCTTCGACTCTGCCCAGCGTTTGTTCTTATCAGCACACTTTCTTTCACACGTTGGAGTAGGATATCTTGGTTCGCAACAGGGTGAGAACAGCCAATATCGTCAAAGCATGGATCACACTGCCAGATGAAAATTTTGTTAAAAGAAACCTTGATTGTGGAACAGATTGTGCATGATCAAGATGTGATTTCCCTCTCAGTTTCTCGTTAAGCAATCTAAACTAAGAAAAAAGATCTCAAGGGTGGTCATGGCAATAGGGAGAGCCAAAAACTGATCTTACCTCCTCAGTGATACCAGATTGGACAAAGTATCTCCATGCATCAATTTCATGACCCCCATCACAACCATCGCCGCACTTCCAGCCACAGCAAGCTAAGAGGTCATTGACGGGTAGAGATACGTTCTGCAATAAAAGGACATGTATGATTACACTGGAGAACATAAATAGTCAAATTTTTTTCTTTGTTCAAATATAAAATAATCAACTTGAATTACAAGATTCAGTTATCATGCCATAACGGATGCAAAAACGATCAGATAGTGATTCAACAGCACCGAATGCCCACCCTAGACTATAAAAATGGATATGTGTTGAGAACTGGTAAGGTTTATTTAAATAAAATCCTTGATAAATAAAGTAAAACATATATTTTTTTTTACCTGATCTATGATATGGAAGTCGATCCACCATTTTCCATATAAAGCAGAAAAGCATCAGCACCTTGAAAATTAATTAGAAAAAGAAGAGAACCATGCAATGAAAGCAGATAGCAACTGACCAAGAATTCTTCCTATGGTGCTACATTAATGTGGCCAAGCGGTTCTTGCGTCAAATTCTTTTGGCAATTTCATGGATTTTGGATGCCTCACAAGAGGAACACCTCTTAGTTCCTTTTTGGGTGTTGGTTTGACTCCACGAAGGTACTTGAATTCCCCAATCTTCGAAGCAAAGAAATTGGAAATGTAAACTATTAGGAATAAATACTAGATATGGCTTAATGAAACAATATAAAAAGAGGATTTAAAACAATCTCAGTTTCTCAATCTCTCATGAACAAGGCCTTGCCAGTCGAGCACTCACAGAGTAATTGAAAAATTGAGGGTTCATGGTAGGTTCCCCCCAGCATTGGGATTTCCATTGACCTTTTGAACTATTGAATCCTGCACATTCATAGTGAAAGCAGAAGAAAAATAAACAATTTGCAATGCAACAAATTCATTCAAATTACAACAACAATAAAATAAAATAAAAAAGTCTGCTAAAGAAAATACCTGAAGGATCCTAGAGTTGAGTTTGAGCTTGGATCAGACTGGTTCTACCGTAATAACCTGTTGACCATATCACATTCAATAACTTCAAACTTAGAATAGCAACCTTCAAGAATCTAAACAGAGAGAAAGAAAATCCAAGAATGGAAATTAGTACAAGATAATACTGCCTTGTGGACCGACACAACAATCTTCTACTCCTTTGTATTCACAAGATCATATTTTTGTATTAATATCCAACTTTAAAGAGGATTTTAGTACTTTATCTCACTTTCGCATATGTACTAAAAAGAGCTTTACAACCTAACCATTATCTATCCGATTTTAACGTATCAAAAAGTAGTTAACTAGCAGCCAAATTTGGAAACAAAAATTCGAACAGGCACAGATTTCTCTCTACTCTAGTGGAACATAAACCTCTGAGACGTAGATGATCGGACTTTAACATGAACGTAAAGAGTTTGCAACTAGTAAGCAAGTACCTGAGAGGCTGAGCGTGAAAGGTAAAGAGAGCAGCAACAAGTAAGGAAAGGATGGAAAAATACAGAGGATTTGCCTCTGCCGCCTCAGAGAGGTTGAAGAAGAGAAGAATATGGAAATATCCACGTAGTTTGAAGAAGGATATGATCCATTTATGAGGGTATGTATGACCCTTATACAGGAGGAAAGGTGAGAGTATGCAAAAGAAGGGAGGAGAGGAAAGCCAATCAGACTGAAGGAGGAAGGAACCTTTCTTGACATTTTGTACACAACACACTTCGTGTCAACAGTGATGGCAAATCCCATTGCCTTATTGGGTTTGATCTCTCTTCCGGCCGCTTGATATTTTCTCCAGGAACATCGTCAGTTAGTTACGAGTTTAAGACCCTCGTGGCCCAGTGTAGAGATCCCGTCTTTGATTATTATGAATTTATGATAGGTATTTATTTATTTATTTTCTTTGCTGGATAAATATATCCATTATGGTTACAATGCGTAACATGATTCTGCATTTCACTTCAATGAAAAGAGCGAGCGATTGTCGATTGATGAAGGATCTGTACTACATAAAATATAAAAGAAAAACATCTTTATCCCTGGTCAGTTCAATCGTCTCTTAAAATAAAAGGAAAATATTATACGTATTCTACAACTAATTTTGTATAATTTAACCAAACCTCAATATATATATATATATATATATATATATATATATATATATATATATTTTAAAAGACACTCCTAAATTCATCAACCAAATCATCTTCTATGAAATTCAGCTTATGGCAGACCAACAAGGCCAAAATTAGAATATAGAGTAGATGAGCCATCAAAGTACATCATCTTTTACAGTATTTCAAACTGAGTATATTCATGAAGAGAGCGTTATGATGAAAGCTAGTTATGTATCGAGATCATAATATCCAATAACTCTCTGTTGCAGTATTTATAACTCCAACATATGATTGATACATAAAATTACATCAAATTTGAATATGATACTCCGTTATCAAGCGGAAGCATGCTCACGGGTATCAATACTGGCAACCCCACTATGGAGGTTCTTGGTTGAGGGCAAACCAGCAACAACATCCTCTTCAATACCACACTCATTTGTTCCTCTTCTTATCTTGAAGTAACCATCCTGTAATTTAAAATGAAATTATACGTCAGCATTTGAGATCATTTTTTTGTGTCAGTAATTCAACATGGAGAAAATCTGGTCAGAAGAACCTACATCTCCCCAGCCTCTATTCCACTGATTTGCGAGAAGCTGCAACAAAGAGTACATATTCGTATTCAATATCATGAGAAAATAATGGCTGCAAAATCTAGAGAAGAACATGATAATTAGTCTCACTTACCCAATAATCCTCCCCATCATCAGAAGTCCCCCAACCAATAAGCTTAACAGCATGGCCTCCCATGATAGAACCTGTTATGTGCTTGTAAACTCCTGATTTATAATGAGCAAAATCCTGTAGAAATTAAAAGGGTAATAAGGTTATATTTCCTATGCACATTTATCTTCCTGCAATTTGCATTTTGCTTCTTTAAAATAAATTGATTATGGGTGACATTCGTCCAGCATGAATGAAAACAGTAAGTAGAAACTAAAAAAGATTCGTATTTAAGAGATCAAATGCTTGCAAACTCCAACTGAGGTTATCCCAACTAGTTAAGCAGTACTCAGAATTCCTTCAGTTTAACAAGTGAGCTATAATTAAGCAAAATAAAAGAGGTGCACTAAGTACGAGCAAAAGAGAATGAAGTGCATTTTTGACCTCATAAACAGTGAAGGCGACCTCGACTGGTCCATTCTGATAAACTTCAGCCATAATATCGAGGGGGTCAGAATTGATCCTATATACATTAACACTGAAGTGCTTCGATTCCATCCAGAGTTGGTTCTTATTGGCACACTTTCTTTCACACAGTGGAGTTGGGTATCCTGGCTCGCAACCAGGGTGAGAACAGCCAATATCATCAAAGTATGGATCACACTGCAAGATGAAAATTTTCTTGAGCACATCATGATTGTGGAACAGATTGGGCATGATAAAAATGTACCCTAATTTCCCGTTAAGCAATCTGAACCAGCGAAAAGATCTCAAGAATCAAGGTGATAGGAAAAGCCAGAAACTTCTACCTCCTCAGTGACAACACCAGATTGAACAAAGTATCTCCATGCCATAATTGGATAACCCCCATCACAACCATCTCCACACATAAAGCCACAACAAGCTAAGAGATCATTGACAGATAGAGAAACGTTCTGCGATAACATGACATAAATTTATAATGGGAAAATTAAAAATAGTCAACATTTTCTACATCAACTCGAACACAAGATTCATTACAATGTCTAAATTGATGCAAAAACGATCAGATAGTGATTCAACAGCTCCAAATGCCCAACAAGATCCACAGTGGCCCTGGATTATAAAAATAGATAAGTGTCGAGAAATGGTAAGATTTATTTAGAAAAATTTGTTGATAAAGTAAGAAAGACAGATTTTTTTACCTGATCTGCAATTTAATTGATCCACCATATTCCATATAAAGTAGAAAAACATCAGCATCTTGAAAAAAAAATATCAGAAATAGAGAGCCAAGCAAACAGGCAAGCAACTGACCTAGAATTCTTCCAATGGAAGTACATTGTGGCCAAGCGGTTCTTGCATCAAATTCTTTTGGTAATTTCAAGGATTTTGGATGTTTTACAAGAGGAACGCCTCTCAGTTCCTTTTTGGTAGTTGGTTTGACTCCAAGAAGGTACTTGAACTCGCCAACCTATTGAACAAAGAAATTGGAAATGTTAACCACTAAGGGGGAAAAAAGACTAGTCTCAGCCTATATGTGCTGAATGTAACCACCAATAACTTATAAGTATCTCAGTCTCTCAATCTCTCATGAACAAGGTCTCGCCAGTTTAGTACTCACCGTGTAATTGGAAAATTGAGGGTTCATGGTAGCTTCCCATCCAGCATTGGGATTTTCATTAACTTTTTGAACAATTGAATCCTGCACAATCACAGTGAAAAGCAGAAGGAAAAATAAATGATCTGCAATACAACAAACGCACAGGAGAAGAAAAGAAAAATCTGGCTAAAACTAATACCTGAAGGATCCTAGAGTTGAGCTTGAGCTTGGAAACTGGTTCCACTGCAATAACCTGTTGACCATATAACATTCAATAACTTCAAAATGAAACTAAAAAAGGAAAAGAAAAAACAGAGAAAGAAATCCAAGAAAGGAAATTAGTTCAAGATACTGCTGTATGGTGGACCGACATAACAACCTCTCAATTGTATCTCACAAGATCATGTTTTTGCTGTAATTCCTACTTTGAAAGATGCTTTTGTTACATTTTCTCACTTTTGCATATGTACTAATAAAGCTCCTTATAAATAAAAATTAATTAATTAAATTAAATTTTTTTTAAAAAAAAGAAATAGAAATCGATACTACATCTAACTTGTTTATTAACTTTAATTAGCATATATAGATACCTCCAGAAATTCTAATTAAAATAGTCTAGCAAGAGATATGGAGTTGAAACTAATCAATCCTCAGACTTAGGTCCAGGTTTACCGGAGGAACAGACACCCAGATGACTGTGCAATTAACTGCCTAATCCTGGCTGCTGAAGCTATGTGTTAGCAGATTCTTCTACCTGTTTCTATGTAATAGTAACTTCCCACTCACTAGAAAACATAGAAACATAATCATTATCCATCCGATTTTAACGTGTCAAAAAGTAGTTAGATCAACGGCCAAATTTGGAAATAAAAATTGGAACAGTCATAGATGGGTCTCTACTGGAAAATAGAAAAGCTGAAAGGTAACGATCGGATATTTTAGAATAAATTGAAAGAGATTGCAAGTACCTGAGAGACAGCAGCAACAAGTAAGAAAAGAGTGGCAAAATACAGAGGATTTGCCATTGCCTGCCTGATGGAAATATCCAAGAAGGGGTTAGTTGGGTGACAAATGAAGAAAGATGAGGTCTCTTTATGAGGGTATGTATGACCCTTAATGTAGGAGGAAAGGTGAGATTTTCAAGAAGAAAGGGAGGTGAGGAAAGCCAATCAAACCGGAGAGGGAAGGAACCTTTCTTGACTTTTTGTCCAGCTGCACGCTTGACGTCATCTGGATGGCAAAGCCCATCGTCCTGTTGGGTTTGCTCTCGCTTCCCCACCGCTTGATTCATGTCATCGAGATTGGGGACGTATCTGTCAGACTGTTAGGATCCTCGTGGCCCAGTGAGGAGATTCCATCTCATCCCATCACCTCTCATCCTCAATTATTACAATGAATTACGTATTGCTTTTCGTTATTTGCTACGGTGCCCAAAATGATTATTTCCCTTCAATAAAGGAAAGAGTTAAAAGTTGTAGCATGTCTGCTCACCGTTTTATTTGTTTTAATCGTATTTTTTTATTAATTTTTTTAATAATTATGTTTTTATTTTTAATTTGTATCTTCATTTCATTCATTGGCTGAATTTTTCAATAATTATATTAATTTTCGACAACAAACTTATAAGATGATGATATGTGGTATTTTTTAAAAACAAATTCTGAAAAAAAAATCAAAATGTTTTTTTTCCTTCTACCTTTATGTATAAAAATAATTAATTAATTTCATTTGTCTTTTTTTTTTTTAGAATTTGAGTTTTTTTCTTTTTTAATTTCTCTCAAATTCTGAAAAAAAAATAAAAGATCCTAAAATGCTTTTCTTTTTCTTTGCTTTGTGCTTTTGTTCTTATGTTATTAAAAAATATTTCATTATTATTATTTTTTTTTTGGATTTGGATTTGAAATAAATTTTCATCATAAATTTCTAAAATAAACAAGAAAAGATTTTGCTTCTGTTTTGTTTCTATACATAAAAAAAAAAAATTAGTTTGAATTTGAGAGAAAGAAAAATAAATAAATAAAAATTAAGAGATGAAATTAATTATTTATTTCTATACATAAATGTAGAGAAAAAGAAAAACATTTTGAATTTTTTTTTTAATTTTTTTAACGTTTTTTTTTTAAAAAAAGCCACGTATTAGCATTCCGTAAGTCTATCACTAAAAATTGATGCAATTACCAAAAAATTTAGCGAATGTGACGAAATTTAGATACAAATTAAAAATAAATGGACATGATTATTGAAAAAATTAAAAAAAATACGATTAAGATAAAGAAAGCAGTAAAAAGATATGATAGAACTTTAACTTGTAAAAGAAAAAAGAAAAATTGTTTCAGAATTTATAAAAGTGGAACCATGAGGAGGAATGAATGGGTTAAAGTTCAATTGATAAAGTATCTGAACTAGTAGATTTTAAGCAGGAAAGAAAAACATCTTCATCTCTCGTTAGTTAAATTTTGTTTTTTCTAAAAAAAGAAATAAGATTGGAATTTGAGACTTGTTTATCTTTCCCAGATTGAGTATGTATAAATGAACTGAGGAGCCATAAAATCAAGCATGCTATGTAAGTAAGAATAGGATCGACTGTTTTTCCATCATTTAACGGGATTTTTTTTTTTTTTTTTTAAGATTCATAAATTCAAATATCCAATATCTCTTTTTTTTTTTTTCCTTTTTCTTCTTTTCATTTTTCTGGATAGAGATAACGTTCCAGCACTCACTTCAGGTCCAGCTCATTTACCCTTCCTTACTCGATTTGCTCAACGACGAAAATCTTGTTCTAACCCAATTTATCTATCCAACTCAGTGGTCCAAGATTCCCCCCCAAAAAAAGACAAACAACTCACGTTACCTTCAATTAGACGGGCATTAATAAATAATAATCTCCAGTTATGCCATAAAAAATACGAAATCCAAAAAAATATTGAAACATGGGTTTGTTTTTCAATCGTAATGTTTTTTCGGAGATACATGGGCATCTACGTGAGAATTATTTATTATTATTAAAAAAAATAACTTTTAACCCGTTAAAGGTGAAAGTATTTTCGAACCACCTCTTTTGTACTAAGAATCCCTCCTTAATTGAGTTTTAGTAGGTTATCTGTGTCTAAATTAATACATGCAAAATTACTTTTCACAATATGTACTTAGATTTGAATTTCAAATGAGAACGTAGAGAGTAAATCAAAGTTCAAACTCAGAATTATAATACAGAGAGTAAATCCACTTATAATTGGCTGGTGAATCCACATAGGGATAGGATTTCAAGATGATTATTTGACCAATATCTAAGAATTTTCTATCCATGCGTATGAGGCATGGTTCTGCCAAATTCTCAGACAAACATTTACATTCCATGTTAGGGGTGCCAAGAGCAAATTCGAAGTATTCTTTTAACTGGTTCCAGGCCTTCCTTGCAAGTTAGAATGATATTTGTTTCGTAAAGACCTAGGGAAATGGAAAGAAAAAGATCAGTTCATGAGGATCCCCCTTTTTGTAGGCGCATTGCTGGGAGGACAAAGCTTGTGGACAAAGAAACTGGAAAGAAGGGAATACTCAGATACGTATACATTCAAAACCATCAAATTAGGTAACCAGTGGGGTTCTAAGCAAATTTTCAACACACAAGACGGACTAAAATATTCCAGTCTAGCATTAATTGCCCATTGATAACCAGCTTATATTATTTAAGTTATTTATAAGTATTACAGTCACAATCTTCTGTCATATCAGTTAAGTATGCCTCAGGAAGGAAGCAAGATCATGCATTGTGCTCCACAGGGATAACCCCAGAAGAGCGGCGACACTGCTGCAAAGCCTCACACAATTGCTTCAGTGCCTTGTCGTATGATATAAACCCCATGAACCAGAATTCATGACCATCCGTTGTCACAATTTGGATGTACTTTTCAGATTGGTTCACTCTGTTTGAAGAAGGATTCACTGCTCTCAACCGATCAAACTGCACCACCACCTATATATATATAAGGAGACAGTTAAACATCAGAAAAAGCAATCTGAAAAATAAAAGAAGATTATCAGCTGCTTACAAAAACTTTGAAGCAAAATTACTAAAAATAAGAACAAAAGGGCCCAATTGAAAGTGCTCAAACAATAGCTAAAACCTGATAAAGAATTAGTTGCTTGATGAGCTCAAATTAATAATTTGTTGCTTTCCAGTCAACAAACTTGTAATGATTTTTAATTGCAAAGTGCAAAATTTGTTTTAAATTCAAAAACTTTCTATTCAGGTAATAGAATATTGAAAAGCACATGCTATTCTCACAATTCAGCAGCTTAGATTAAAGAAACGAGACATTGGTGGTGAGTGCATCACTAAGAAATGTAGTAGAAGATAATAACCTTGTAATACATCCATTGCTGCTGTCCTGTTGGAGAATAATAGCAGAAGGGATACTCGCTACAAAAGGCCACCTTTTTGGTGGATATATATAGTGTCCCAATAACAGGTCCTGTAGAAGTTGATACATAGCAAGCATATGCATTCAAGAGCTTCTCTCCAGGCAAGACCTCAAATGTCTGCTGGAATACCTTATCGTGCCCTCCTTCAGTGAGTACCTTTGTCCCCTGAGCAATCCTTGCCATTGCAGCATCGGTGAGACTAGGACTAACCTTGACTGTTGTTCTCAAAAAAAAAAAAAAAAAGATTAGATATAAGATACTAAATGATTGCATCCATATCTGAGAATTACAACTAAGTAATTTGCCTTACCACAAAATAAACAGTAAAGAAAAAATTGGCTTCCTAATTTCTGAAAGTACGGTTTAACTGGCAAAGTGATGGTGATCTGTGTTATTCCTAAAAATCATTAACTTACATTATCACTTACCTCTCTAAGTTGAAGGACCAAGCCAAGGTAATTAATCAATTCCCTCTGTTTTCCATTTTAATATTCCTATTAATCTATTTTTTTTTCTTGTAGCCATTCTCTATATGAAGACATACCTCCACATTCAACCATTCTCATAAATTCCAAATTTACATTTAAAAAAATTAAAAATCTCAAGAAGAGTGTTCCTCCACTTGGTTTCTTGAAAAGGCCAAATAAGCATCTTAATTTTGCAAACAAGAACAAGCTAATTAATTTGTCGGCTCAGTTTATATTTGGCCATGAGTACAAAAGATCAGGTGAATGGAGTTGATCCGACAATTAGTCACCGTACTCAATTCTAAGCAATTAGGGAACCATAACAAAAAGAATTCGCAGAGAATAAATAACCTAAGGAACTTTCCCCTACCTTCTGTACGTTTACACTAACACTAGGCAAGCTCAGAGGCAATGTTGGGTGGCACCTTTCTATAAGACCTCATCTATTTAAAGATGAAACGATCGACCCAATAAACGCAGTAAACAAAAGGCGATATAAGTTTTTTTTCTTTCCGATCAAGATTGCAGTGACAATATATTTGATGAATACGGATATTAAGGGCAGGCAAGAAGAATTTACTTAGTCCTGATTGAAGGTAAAATGAAGAGGGAAAAGAAAAACTCACAATGATGCCAGATGTTATCAGCATAAACCTCTGCTTTCCTAGTGGCAACTTCAACCCTTTTCCCACACCGATTCAAAGCATCATATATCTTCCCCATCGGTCCTGGAAGAAAGTAGACAAAATTTTTTTTATTAATTTAGACTATACTTGAAAACAAACACCAAGAAAGACATTCATGAACTCAAAACTCAAAACTCAAAAGATCAGACTTACTATTGCCATTTGTCCCATGTCCATTTCTAGTAGCCGGAGGAACAGGCGCGAACTGGAGATAAGGATTGTTGTTATTGTAGTCCATGGTGTTGAGGATGCAGATGGGGATTCGCTGAAGTGCTCTGTGTACAAATTATAAGGCAACGAGACAGGTTCCTCACTTTTCCTCCACCGCCCAAACGTCACTTTAATTTTAGCTCCACGCTATTATTCTCGATGGTAGGTAGCTTTGCCTGGTCGGCCCATAGATAAAATATAATATATAATAGGATCTCCTGTATTGTTATTATTATTATTTTTATTGACAAGGTATCCAAGTATGAACATCTAAACTAATTGTTTATTGTTTAATGGGATGTATAAAGTAAGCATAATTATAAGAAATTTTTTTACATGTATCAAAATTCAAATTTAAAATAACTTAATTAAATAATTACAGTTCTTTCTATTCAAATCAATTATCTTAAGTATTTTATGTATTATTATTCATTAAAAGTATAAAGAGTCTTTTCATAAATATTCAGCATAAATAGTTTCTAGATAAAATAAAAGTAAAAATTAGTCATTTTATTAAATTTTTGTCTAATTTAAGTTAAATAAAATTACATACCTAATAAGTGATGCTTTAGTCCACTTAATTAAAAGATCTAATTTATGTTGAATAATTTGTTGTAATAAATATTTACTTTTTAATTAATACTATATGAGACTTTGTCGTATTTCATTTTAAAAAACTTGGATAGAAACCTAATGTCAATCAACAAAGGAACTAATTTTAGCTCTAAATTTGTCTAGGGATTGTTTATGCTAAATGACTTGTTTAGGGACTTTTTTGTGTGTTTAGCCAATAGTATGAAGAGTTTTGGTAAATATTTAAATGTTTATTGAACAAACATGTTTGATTTTCAAGCAATTTTATATAAATTATGATAATTATAAAAAAATAATTTTTTAAATTTTTTTAACCATGTGAAATATTTTTAACTTATATTTAGTAAAAAATAAATACAGGAAATTGAATTATTTTTCAAAATAATTAATAATTAATATCTCGGATAAATATACATAACTTTTTTAAAAAAAACAGAGTGGAGTGGAATGGAATTTGAGTGATTCCATTGATCTTATGGGGATATTGTATTTAAGTTGCAAACGTGATAGCGAATTTATTCACAGAATCGTGGACGGAATGTATTTGAGTTCGTTCATACCGTGCGACGATAGAAAAGCATTTTGTTGGATAAGCTTGTGGTGACAGAACGTAACTAGAGATTGAAAAAAAATGGAGGGAAAGAAAAGGAATATTTGGGAAGAATATATAAAGTTTTTTCATTTTTTTGAGAAGACGAGAGCGCCATTTTCTCCAGAAGGGGAGAGAAGGTGAAGAGAAGAGTGCAATGAAAGGCTATTTATTTATTTGTCTCTTATTCTCTTATGCATATTCATAAAATATGTGAACAAGTTTGTAATTTTATTTTTCTTCCATTCATTTTTTCTTTCTTTCTAGTTTTCAAATACTTTATTCTCATTTTCATTTCCTCCACTTTCACTCCTTCCAAACAAGAGGGAACAAAATTACAATCTTCTACTTTTTTCCATTCCTCTTACTTCCATTCTTCTCATTTTGTTACCCTTCACTATCTTCTCTCTCAAGCAAAATATAAATGCCAAAGAAATTGTGTTTCTTATAAAATTAGGAATGTCATTTGCTTTCAAATCGGGGGATTTGTGAATTTATGGATAAATAGAAGAATTTCAACCTCTGAGGGCCACTAAGCTAGGTCCATGTCATAGCCTATTCGATTTGGGTGATCTTTTTGCAGAGGATCGTCAATCCACGATGGAGGACTGGTTATGTACGGTCTCGTATATCATGCAAGTAGTGTTCTAAATTATTCGCATATAAGCTATGTGAATTACCCACTAGTCCATCACTTTTTCATTTAGTTTGACTTTGGCTTAACCAAGTGTTGAATTCAATCATCTATTAACATGGATTATCATGCAAGCTTCCAAGTTAATTGAATATTAAAAATGATCTATTTAAATTATGAAAATATCATGCACAACTATATTAAGTAAAAAAATAAACTTTTATAAAAACTACGTAGTTGAACATAAGAATGACAATTTGTTGTGTCCCATCGGAACCTCAACTTATTTGAGATGAGAATGATACTCAAAATTTTATCCCGTAAGGGGCAAGAGGCGAGGATGGGACGAAATTTTTTGAGATGGGGCTATCTTCGTTCATGTCCTGTCATTTTGCCTTTAGAAATGACAATTTGAGAATGAGAATGCAAAAAAAAATTAAAATTTGAGGATCAAAAAACTTTTTTTGAAAAGTACAAGGACTGGAATGAAAATATTTTTGATAAATTATTGTTAACATCAATCTTTTGTTATTCAAAATTGAGCTGTTAAATTTAAATTTAATAACTTGGAAACATATATACAGATAAAAATATGTTACTGAAAATAAAAATTATATCATATTGAAATAGTTAATGCTTTTTGGCAAAAAAGTGATTTTGCCCACAACGGCTGGAGCAAAATGAGAAAAAGCAACCCTAATATTAGATCATATTATGCAAATTCATCACTTTAATTCGAAGGTCTCTCATATTCAAGTACAGAAATTGGAGGTTGATGGATGAAAAATCTAAGAGACGACAAAGGTTAATTTTCTTTATGTTTTGAAGAATGCCTGTAAATGTCAAATTGAACTTTAACCATTGAAGGTTTTAAATTACAAAGCACACCCTCAAATTGCCGCTCGTCATGGTCTGGGACTTCTGACCAGTGAGCGGAGACCCCTCGGCAGTCACAATTGAAATCACTGCGCCTGCAGTTCAGGTGGTTAATGATTAATTAAGCCATTAGGAGTATTTGAAAGAAAGCAATTAAATAAATTAATTAAAATTTGAGAGTGGCATTGCTGTTTCAAATAATTATGGTATTTCTGAACTCACATGGCTATGTATACTACAGTAGAAGGCCAAGAGGCCAAAAAAGAAAAATCCAAAATCAAAAAGAGGAATAAGTTAGGCACAGGTACGCATGAGATAAAGAGAAAGAGAGATGCAAAGCTAATGTCCTAACCCCAAAATCGAAAATGGGACTCTTGCCTAGTTTGGGTCTCCGTTTAAACCGACTTCAACTACTGTAGAAAATAAAAGATAAGAAAAACCCATTTTTCAGCTCCAATTCATATGCTTCGCCACTTCTCTGTTTGCCCTTTTAAGGTTTGATACTCTACTCTCTCACTCTGATTTTATTTATTTTTTTCATTTATTCGGTCTCTTTTGATGGTTGTGCTTGTTTCCATTGTTCGAGTAATCATGATCAGTTGATGGTTTTGGGTAATTAGCTGGGAAGGTTGCTATTTGAATGTTGGGTTTGATCCACTAATTATTATATGTAGAGAAGAAGCATTTTCCGTTTTCTTTCTTTGCCGGTTTCTGAAGATTAGAGTTTCCAAAATTTGTGTTGCAAGTGATCTGGTTTGGACCTAATTTTATGCCAATGAAATCTGATAATATGGTGGGGATGAACAGTACATAGAAATGTGCAGTGATATCTGCTTGTGTATATATATCGTGAGGATGTAGATATGTAAGAATATATAGGAAATGTGATTCTAGTACAGCAATCATGGACTGAAATATCAACTATAGCAGCAAGCAATGTAGAACGTATCACAAGATGCTTCATATTGCCATAACTAATGGTAATTGTAGGCATTTCATTAGGGAGCAGCTTCATTGTGTTTTGCATTTTATTCAGCGATTTTTTTTTTTTTTTTTTTTTTTTTTTTTTTTTTTTTTTGTGGTTCAATGTAAGAAAACACACATCTACCTGAATTTTCAATTCCTTAATTTAGAGTATTTTCTCTATTTTGGTTGTAAAGTTTGATGAATTGTTTCTTTGGTGCTGTCATAAGGGGTTCAAATTTTAAGGATTCTCATTTAAATTGTGCTGATTTTGATGACTATGGTCCATCTTCTCTTCAGGCACATTAATTAGTTCTGGTGATTAAGTTTTGGATTTGGGATTTGATATGTTCCAGTAACTAAAGGATTTTTCCTCCCATCACTTTCTGTATCGATGGGCATACAGAAGATTTGCCATCGGAGTTCAAGTTCTGATAAAGTTTCTTGCTCCTTCAATGGTGAAGTCAAGCAGATGAGAGATAACCCAGTCTTGGGACCAGACACAGGGAATGATTCAGATGATGATTGTGAACTTGCAGAATTGAACTGTGAACTTGGCATGGTGGAAGGTCAGTGGTGCAGCATACCATACGAACTTTATGATCTTCCAGATTTGAGGGAAATATTATCTCTAGACACCTGGAATTTGTGTTTAACAGAGGAAGAAAGGTTTCATCTATCAGCTTACCTTCCAGATATAGACCAAGAGACGTTTTGCTCAACTATGAAGGAACTTTTTGATGGTAGTGAAATATATTTTGGGAATCCGTTGGATAAATTTTTCAAAAGATTGAAAGGTGGATTCTACCCTCCAAAGGTGGCTTGCTTCAGAGAAGCTTTGCAGTTTTTACAAAAGAAGCAGTATTATCATTCGCTGAGAGCTTACCATGACAGGATGATACAAACGTTTATAGACATGAGAAGGTTGTGGGATCAGTGTGAAATGAGTACTGGAATTGAGGAAAAGATTTTTATGTGGAAAAACAGGAGAAAACAAAAGAGCATCAATTTGCTTGATCTCAATGAATCTCCTAAGGATGATCATCTTTTAAGTGAGGAGATCAACTTGGAATTGAAGGTGACAAAGCTAGTGGAAAGTGAGAGTTCAGCAAAGGACAGGCCGCACTTTCCGTCTGCCAACAGGGCAAAATTTGTAGCTCCATACTGCAGACCGAAGGGGGTTCTAAAGATGAAGGCATCTGGCAATGATTCATTCCATAATTATGATTCAAAGATGGTAGCGACTGACTTCTCTGGACACTGTCGATCATTGCCCAAGGGACTGTTGAAAATAGTACCTAAAGTTCCTTCAGCTCCCCTGGAACAATCAGGCATTATGCCAAGAGGAGTGCAGTCAAACTTTCCGGTGAGGACTCATGGCATACGGGATTTTAGGTTTTCTCCTTTGCCAGCTTCTCTACGCTTTCAGAATGCAGGTAGACTGCATGAATTTCCATTTCTAAGGCAAAAGGTTGATGGCAGCAGAGTTCATTCAGCTCTGGACCAACCTCGGTTTCTAATGGATCCGCAAGAAAGTGTTAGAGTAACCAGTAATCACCCAGAAAGCTCTACAAGAAAAGTGAAACTGGAAAAGCTTCCATCTTTAGATGATAATTCTGTTTTAGGAAAACACAAATTGTTTGGAGTTGATATGGGAAGGTTTCTGAATAAGGAATGCAAGTCATCCTTGGATACCGTGGGTGCAAAGCCGTATACCTTTGGTGGTGAAAATCTAGGGGCAAATGTGGGCAGAGAATCTAATGGCTCCTCCCTGAGATCTTTGGAATCATTCCCATTTTGTATCCAACATCAGGGAGGGAGCAGCACGTGGCACCCTTAAAAGAAGAGCATCTTTCAATCTATCCAAGAATTCCAGAAGTGGTTCCCTCAATTTCAGAGTTTGGCAATGGTAAGCAAGAAACGTTAATGGATTCTTCTTCACACCAAAAGAACGGTGAGAGTGATGTCAGTGCTAGAAAATCAGAGAAGTTATCAAGTAAATCCAGTGTCTCGGAGGCATTTGAGGTTAAAAAGTTACTGCCTTTGACGTACAAGCGAAGGAAAGTTGTAGCTAAGGCCAACTCATTAAACTTCGGTAAGTCACTAACAGCAGGTGTTGATTTGAAGTCTGCAATTCCAAAAGAATCAAATCAAGATTTTAGGGAAGGTGTGAAAACTATGAAGATAAGATTAATGGGGTTGAAAGATATGCCCTTGAACAAGGAACCATGAACAACACTTCATGGACTAAAGTAGGTACTTCTTAGTAATATCAATTTTCTTTGTGGTTTTCACAAAATTATTCCGTAGTATATGCTTTCCAAGATGTGTAAATCGAAGTATAGTGGTAAAAGAAAGTTCCATTTTCATGATAATCCCATTGCAAACATATTCATGAGTCTGCCACCATCTTACCATCGGCATGTGTGTGCATATGTAGTCAATATTTTCAATTGACTCGTCAAGTTACAGCACTGATGTACAAGCATATCGTTAGATGATCCATTGCCAAACAAGTAATTCCTTTCTATCTGGTTTATAGCTCTGATACCAATTAACGTTTCCACGTTGGCTATGTCCAATCTGGTTGAGAAGGCAGTATAAATTTGAAATATTTTAGATTGCACATCCTGTTCTAGGTCATTGCTTAGGATTCTTTGACATGATTGTGGTCAGTTTTGCTTGCCTCCTTGATCCAGATTGGCTGAAAATTTTGTTAGCTCCAATATCTGGGTTAATATGGAACGCAAACTTTGACTTTTTATGATTGTTTTATTCTTTGCCTCCAGATATCTTTATCTGCATCAGACTAGTGCATGATGAGAATAGTGAACTTCTTTTGAAATCAATATAGGCTGCGTGTGCTGTTGTTTCAATGACCATGTATGTCAAGGTTCGTGCTAGACCTGGATAGTGGTGGTGACACGAACACATTTCTCATGGGTTTATTTTGAAGCCGTGTTAAATTAATGTATCTTCTGTCCCGGTCAAAGTACCACTTGTCTCCTCGCATTCCCTGGTAGTAATAGGGATACCAACTGGGGCAAGGTTTTTCAAGAGTAATTTAGTTAGTGCAAAGTTTGTTTGTATGACTTATTCAATCTCTGTTGGACAGCATCCTCAACAGGACTTGTCTGTAGGCCAGATCTTTTCTACTTGAAATCAATCGTAAAAGCAATGGTTTATATTACAACGCAATTAATGAAAACAATGAAAACATTAACCATGCGAATGATGAAACGAAGAAGAAGAAATACACAGAAAAATAACTACAAGAACTAGAGGGAAAATGAGAAAAGTAAAAAGAATTTCTCCTAACTTCACAAAGTTTCTCACACTCTCTTTACCCTCTTTTATTATCTAACAAACTCAACTAACAACCCAACTAACTGCTAGCAAATTTAGTAATTAATAACGGCTTCACTTCGGTTCCCTTTGCCAGTTAAGATGCCATTTGTCACTGTCATATTACCAACTAATATAATTGTTCAGCTCAGCACCAAAGGGTGTCATATTGCCAACTAACATAATTGTCCAGCTCAGCACCAAAGGGTTGCATAAACCGAGGAAAATGTTGCTCTAAATCAAATGAAATTTTCTAAGTTGCCCTAGAGCTGTACCTCAATTAGGTTTGTAAGCACTTGTTAACTACCTCCAATTGCCATATGTTTGAGGATGGTAAGCGGTAGAGAAGTGTAGCAAAAATTTTTTGACAAAACAAACAACTCTTTCCAAAATTTGCTCAAAACCATTGAATCTCTATTAGATGCAATTGTTTGTGGCAACCCATGCAATTTATACACATATTCCATAAATAGTTTAGCTACCGAGTTGGCGGAATAAGGATACGAAAGAGTCATAAAATGTGCATATTTAGTTAATATATCCACGACTATAAAGATCATTAACTTACCTCGGTAGGTTGGTAAACCTTCAATAAAGTCCATGGTAATGTCAATGAAGATGGCGTGAGGTAGAGATAGTGGATTCGGTAACCCTAGAGCCACTACATTTTCGTAGTTACATTCTTGACAAACCTTATAATTTCACACACACTCACGTACTTTAGTAATCCCTTCCAATAGAATAGCGTTGTCAACTTCTTTATGGTACCCTTAGCCCTATAGCATCCACCAATCGCTCAATCATGAACTACAAAAATTAGTTCATTGTGTAGTCCGCCTATTTAGCCAACCACCAACTTGCTCTTCCTTCGTAATTGCTTGGGCTTGCCATATATATTTTGGATGCATTCCTCTAGGATCGTATAATTGAGACAAGTACAATTAATAACGTTGGGTTTGAACTCTAAGAATCTCAAATCCTTATCATTAGGTCAATAGATATAAAGGAAACAACAATGGTTGCTAATTGCATGCATGAAAGAGCATTTACAACTATATTTCCTTACCTTTTTAATATACAATTTCATAGTCATAACCCATCAATTTAACTAACCAAGTAAATTGACTAAGAGTATGGATTTACTACTCAAGTAAGTGTTTTAAGCTTTGTGATCCGTTCTAATGATGAAGTGTTGATCCCTTAGATTATGATGCCACTTCTTTATAGCGAATAAAATGGCTAGTAGCTCCTTTTTCATGTATGGATAGTGCTTGATGCTTAGAGTTTAGTAACTTACTAATGTAAGCAATGTGATGACCATTTTGCATTAACATTTCCCTAATTCAATTCAACCTCCAAAAGCATCAATTTCAATTATAAAATCTCATTCAACCGAGGTAAAGCAAGTATCGAGTTGTTAATGCTTTTTTTTTTTTTAACTCCATAAACGCTCTTTTAGCTAAAGGTTTCCATATAAACCCATCCTTTTTAAGCAAATCTATAGGAGGTTTAGCTATTTTGCTATAACTCTTCATAAAATGTCTATAATAACCTATACGACCTAAGAACTCTCTCAATCGCTTTAGATTTTATGGAATAGGCCATCTGTTGCACCACTTCAATTCTCTTAAGATCGATCCGGATCTTTTTTTAGATATAAAACGTTCTAAATATTTCACTTTTGAAGAGCCAAAGGTACATTCAAAACGTTTAACAAACAAGAAATTCTCTCTCAAGACACTCAATGTAGTTTTCAAATGATAAACATGCTCTTGTAAAGTTTTACTAAAGACTAAAATATCATAAAAAAAAATACTAGAATGAACTTTCAAAGAAAAGGTCTAAAAACATCATTCATCAATAATTGAAAAGCACTAGAAGCATTGGTTAAACCAAATGGAATAACCAAATATTTATAGTGGGCATTGTGTGTTCAAAAAACATTTTAGGAATATTTGAAATATACATTCGATTTGATGATAACTCGTATGTAAGTCTAATTAAAAAAAAATGTTGATCCTTGCATTTCATCTAGAACTTTCTCGGTGATAGGAATAGAGAATTAATCTTTAATAGTTATCCGATTAAGTTTTCTATAATCCATACACATCTTTCAAGAATTATCTTTCTTTGTAGACAACACCACTAGAGAAAAAAATGGACTTAGACTAGGTCGTATAATATCATTATCTAACATTTCTTGCATCCGTTTCTCAATTTCATCGTTATGGACAAATGACACCTATAAGGTTTCAAACTTAAAAGTTCTAATCCTTTTTTCGGTTTAATCTTATAATCATGTACTCTTTGAGGAAGTAACCTTTTAGGCTCTTCAAAAACATCTTTAAACAATTCTAACAGGTCACTTAGTTACGTTGGAATTGGTCGAACCAACTCTATTCCCCAATTTTCCATTTTTATTTTCATTTCCTTAAGATCAACTAATTGATTTAATTGCAACCAATTTAAGAGATGACTTACAAATAACTTTATCCGATTCCTTAACTATCTCACTTTTGCTTATTTTAATGCACTTCGCTTGTAATGAAAACAACTTTTGATCTTTTGTAAACTTCATCCACATCTCCTTAAAATTCCAAGTTATGCCTCCCATAACATACAACCATGCTACTTCTAAAATCATGTCATGCATTCCGAAATACATCATAAAAATAATAATTTCAAATGCCTCTCCTTGTATCTTCTACTTGAAATTATTGTATTTATATTGACATACAATATCTCTAACATCTTCCACATAATGATCATTGGCTCAATTTTAACCATTACACATTTATTCTTCTTAACAAATCCTAAATCCATAAAATGACGAGTGCTTATCCATATGTATGAGTATGTTCATTCTTTTACTTTTTAATTCTTCTAACATCTTCATAGTTTGATGATGTTCCCCACCTAACACTATAAGAATTGAAATTTGATATAGCTCTCTAACTAAACTATCCCTATTTTCATGTTTCCTATAAATATTTTCTTCCCTAATCACCTTATTTTCAACATCACTAACTCCATCATCTTTCACTTCTAGCATAAACACTCGTCTATCTTTGTATTTATGGCCGGACACATATTTATCAACATAAAAGTAATATAATCCTCTTAGCCTCTTTTTATCCAATTCATTATTGGGTGTTTTCTTGTTCTAAAAATAGAATTATCATTTTGGAACTATGGTGGTAAATGCAATATACCTTTTTGGTTATAGTGGTTAGCATTGTTATAATTTGTTTGATAATTTTGGTTCATATTGTTTAAATTTATGTAATTATTGTTTAAAGTAGGTTTTTGGTTGACGATTAGAGAATTTAAGAATGGTTTATGGTCGTAAGTTGGTGAAAATTTAGTGTTGAGTCTTTGAGGATGATGTTAAAGGTTGCGATTAGTCTCTTGAAATTTGGCTAAAGCCACTTACTTTTTAAAAAGTTTTAGGTCTTATAACTTTCATCGGTATTTGTAATTCGATTGCAAGCCCCATATCAAAAAGTTGATGATGTAATCTTCGAGCACAATTAGCTCTGTTAACACCGAAGATATAATTCCTAAGGAATGATTCATCAATTTGCTTTAATCCCTTTAGTTACGCCATAGGACCATTGAACAACATAAATCTAAAACATATACTCGTGACTTTTATATGTTTTTCCCATTTAAGCATAACCTCAATTCCATTCATCTTCACAAAGACTCGATGCCATTTCAAAGCCCTTTTTTCTAAATGAATAGTAACTAAATTCACCTTAGCTTCCTTTGGTGTCCTATCCATCATAAAAAAAATTCTCACACCTAAATACCCATTCTTCAAAGTCATCACTAAATAATCTAGGAAACTCCATCTTAGATATGTGAGTATTGTACCTATATTCCCC